GGTTCATGACAATACTTCTGAGCAGTTTGTGATTAACCCTTTACGGAAGCATCTGTGCTCAGCACCCTGTGATAGCCGGACAGGACAGTACCAGGGCCACACAGAGGCTGGCTCTGGACAGAACATGCCTCACTACAGATGGAGCCTGAAGTCCATGTTGCATAAACACTAAGTAAGCAAAACAAGCAGGGCCAGGCATGGTGGATCACGCCTGTAATTCCAGCACTTTGGGAGGCTAAGGCAGGAGGATCGCTTGAGCCCAGGAGTTCGAGGTGCAGTGAGCTATGATCATGCCACTGCATTCCAGGGTGGGTCGACAGCGCGCCTTTGTTTTGTTGTTTTTTTGAGACAGAGTCTCATTCTGTTGCCCGGGCTAGAGTGCCATGGCGTCAGCCTAGCTCACAACACCTCAAAGAATCTGGCTCAAGCGATCCTCCTGCCTCAGCCTCTCGAATATCTGGGACTACAGGTATGTGCCACCATGCCTGGCTAATTTTTTCCATATATTTTTGGTTGGCCAATTAATTTCTTTCTATTTATAGTAGAGAAGGGGGTCTTATTCTTGCTCAGGTTGGTCTTGATCTCCTGACCTTGAGTGATCCTCCCGCCTCGGCCTCCCAGAGTGCTAGGATTACAGGTGTGAGCCACCATACCTGGTTGACTTTGTCTTAAAAAACAACAACAACAACAAAACAAACAAACGCATATGGACAAAGTTTTATCTCTAGAGAGCTGTGCTTCAGGGAGCTTTTTAGCATAAATGACAGGGATGGGGACAACAGGTGCTGATCTGTCCCCCACAGACACCTGATTTAGTGTGAGAATGTCACTAGTTCACAAATGACATTTGTAGCAGGTAAGGCATTGGAAGTATTGTATTTTTCATAAAAAATCACTGTAAGAGTCTCTTCAGCTACTTTCCGGTTCCTAAAAAAAAGTTTCCAAAATGTCAAAGTATAAGGAAATCAAATTCACCTAGAAATTAATCTTTTTCTTTCCTTTTCAGCTGATTGGATTGTAATCTCACCATGTGAACATGAATTTGGGGTGAAATGAGAAACTTTGAAATGTGTAAACAATCTTCTCCCTCTTACTCTCTGGGGACCCCTCAGTGGGGGGCAGAGGGGAAGGGAAAGCGCTTGATCAAGGGACTCGGGGTGATGAGGCACCGAGGGGAACAGCTCTGGCACAGGGGCAGGTGGGAGCTAGGGTGGAATGTTCAGGAACCTAAGAGGGACTGGCAGAGGCAGGCAAGACCAGAGAGGAGGCTGGAGGACATTGAGGTCAGAGACAGTGGCTTGGACTTGGGGAGGGCTGGTGGAGATGGCCAGGAGTGGAAGGAGTGACAAGGCTGGATTTTGGAGGGTTGGGCATGTGTCAAGGCCACTGATGATCACTTGCTGTGTGGGCCAGGTGCCCCCAGCTGCCTGCTGGCCTCTGTGAAGCCCATCCTTGTCCTCCCATGATCCCTGAGGCCACCTCCTGACTGTTCATGTCACCCACTTTCTAAGTAGTGTGTTCTGTGGATCTGGACAAAGGTAATGGCTGTGCCACACTGCAAATGTACTCAGCGTCACTGTCTATTTTAACACAGTTAATTTTTATGTTATGTGAATTTCACCTCAGAAAACACAAAACAACCCCCCTGACAGGTGCATAGAGCCCGGTCCCCTTAAAAATAGAGACCAAAGGCTGGGTGGGCATGGTGGATCACACCTGTAATCCCAGCACTTTGGGAGACCAGAAGTTCTACACCAGCCTGAGCAACATGGCAAGACCCCATCCCTAAAAAAAACAAAAATAAAAAATGAGCAGGGAGGCCGGGCGCGGTGGCTCACGCCTGTAATCCCAGCACTCTGGGAGGCTGAGGTGGGAGGAAGGTCAGGAGTTTGAAACCAGCCTGAGCAAGAGCAAGATCCCATCTCTACTAAAAAATATATAAAGAAATTAATTGGCCAACTAAAAATATACAGAATAAATTAGCTAGGCATGGTGGCTAACGCCTGTAGTTCCAGCTATTCAGGAGGCTGAGGCAGGAGGATCGCTTGAGCCCAGGAGTTGGAGGTTGCTGTGAGCTAGGCTGACACCACGGCACTCACTCTAGCCTGGGCAACAAAGTAAGACTCTGTCTCAAAAAAAAAAAAAAGGCCGGGCGCGGTGGCTCATGCCTGTAATCCTAGCACTCTGGGAGGCCAAGGCGGGAGGATCGCTCAAGGTCAGGAGTTCGAAACCAGCCTGAGCAAGAGACCCCGTCTCTACTATAAATAGAAAGAAATTAATTGACCAACTAATATATATAGAAAAAATTAGCCGGGCATGGTGGCATGAGCCCCCCTCCTGGTAGAGACAGACCATTATCAATAAAAGGAGGTGGAGATTCAAGCCTCAGGTCACCCCATTCAGGATACGGGGCTCTGCGTCCTCACACCCTGTGGGCTGAAGACCCCACACCCTGCCACAAAGAGGGGGCTCCACTGGTGGGCTGAGGCTGAGGGTCGCCTCTGGGTGGGGGTGAAGGGCAGACGAAACGACAAAGACACAGCGAATGGCTCCTGCATGTCATTTTACTTTGAATATATAGGAAGAGAAATCCACAAACGGGAAGCTATGTTCTATGCTTATATCTTTTAAACAATGTTTTGTATTTACAAAAAAAAATTTTTTTTTCCTGATTAAAAAAAGCACCAGCTGAAAAGTTACAGGCTGCTAAAACCGTTAAGATATCACAAACCCATTAAAGGACATTACACCAAACGTACTTGTTAGAAAACTTGAACGAAACAGAAAACACAACCAGCTCATTTAGCCACTGTGGTTCCCATCACCCTCGAGTTCCTGCTACGCGGGGCTGGGAGCGCTTACCCGGGAGAGGCCCCTGGCCTCCCTGGAGAGCGACTGTGGGGCCAGGCTGTGTCGCAGAGGGACACAGCAGCCTCGCTCCTGCTGTGCCCGGCCTCCTGGGGGCCAGACCCCTTGAGCCCCGACCACGGGGCGTGGTGGGAGTGGGAGGTGCACTCGAGGGCGTGACCGGCCCTCAGCAATTTATCTGCCAACAGACTCTTTTAGCCCTTCATCCCTGTCTGAAGGGTCTGGAGTTTGTATCTGTTTTCCCTAAACACGCAGCTGTGGGACACTGTGACGGCCCCCTGGGAGCTTGCCGCCTGCCGTCCCGTCTTGCGAGCGAGCGAGGCACCCACCCCGGACTCGCAGGAAGGTACTTTGTGTGATCGGATCTGCTGTGAAGACAGGTCCCAAACTTGCACCCACACACTTGTGCGCGTGCGCACGCACACACACACACACACACACACACACACACACACACACATGCATGTGCTTTGGTTTCCATAAAGCTCGAGCAGAATGTTAAACATTGAGTGTTGAATTTTAATTGTAAACCTGAAAATCTCATTCTTAACTTTACATATACATAGATAACAGGGTGGTCACTAAAAGCACTTCAACATCAGGACAGATGTTAAGTTCTGAGGTTCTTTTTTCAATTGCTCTACATACAAAATGCCCTAGAAGCAAAGAGAGGCTTAAATAAATAGGCAGGAACGAACATGATGCACAACGTGATCGAGCGAACGTGGGTCCGGAGAGGTGGGACGCTGTGGGGTCCGAGCTGGCAGACACAAGATCCTGGAGGCAGGGAAGGTGCCGACTCGGGGGACCCCGGGGCTCCTTCCAGGTGGGGCCACAGAGGCCGTGGCTGGGGAGGAAGACGGGACAGGGACAGCTGTGGGCCAGGGCTGCACCCTCTTCTGTCGGCCTTGCTGGCCGGGGGAGGGGGTGTTGGCCAAGGGGACGGCCCCTCAGGGCAGACAGGACAGGGCCAGGCTCTCCCTGGTGACCCAGAGACTGTGTGTCCTCTCGGGACAAGCCCCTGCCAGCCTGTCCTTGCCACCACCCTGGCCGTGGGCGGTGGCCCTGCTATGGGGAAGGCACACCCAGGCCTCAGGGGTCCGAGCAGCTGACCCGATCGACCCCAAGGTCCCTCTGGTGAGGGGCGCCCAGGCTCCCAGGAGCAGCCCTCGTGGGGCTGGGGCCACAAGGCCTGAAGCGGCCACCCTCCCCTGACGAAAGGCCCCCAGCGCGGCAGCAGGGGGTGCTCCCGGGCTCCGGAAGCGGGCAGGGTGCTGCCTTGATCCCTCATCCCAGCCACCACCACTCCCGATACCACTGCCACCGCCGGCCCCTCCCCGTCATTCAAGAGCATAAAACCAAGTGCTGCGGTTTGGGCCCAGCAGGGCTCCCCGCGGTCCGGCTGGGGACAAGGTGCCCACGCCGCCCGAGACTGGCAGGGGAGGCCGGGAGGCGCCTTCCCCTCCCCTGAGAGGGAGGCGGGAGGCCCGGAGCCTGAGCCGCAGTCCAGACGCCCTCGCAGAGCTGCGGGAGGAAGGCCCTGCGCTCTGGGTGGGCCCAAGGTGCCCCTCTGTCCGCCTCCTTCCCGCAGCAGCCGACAACACAGGTCTCAGCTCCCAGCTCTGTGAAACTCCACCGCACACGCCTGTGTCTGCGATCACGCGCAACTCCCCGGGCGGGATGGCGAATCCAGATGATGTCTGGAAGCTGAGTTCGTGCGTGCCCAGGGGCCCTGGCGGCACAGGGCTGATGCTGGAGGGAAAGGCCAGCCAGGAGGAGCGATGGGACCCGTGCTTTGTCCCACGCGGCCGTCACTTCTTCCCTCCGCATCTGGCCAGAAACTGGCCTCTCCCCTTCAGGCTCTGGAGACCTCCGTGAGCAGACGGAACGTTCCGGCCCCTGCCTGGCATCAGGGCCGAGGCGAGGGAGGGGCAGGGGACAAGCCCACCTGGCTCACGGGGTCAGGACCCGCACCCGAGGACAGGCCGTTGGGTCCGCTGCAGAGGCGGCTCTGGAGTCAGCTCCCACGCCCACCTGCAGGCCTCGGCGCCGCCCGGCACGGCCGGGAGCGGCCGGCTGCCCCTGCTGGGTGGGCAGGAACTGGCTCCTCGCGCCCCGGACTCGGAAGCTCTAGAGACGGTGGGAAGGAAGCGAGTGCGTCCGGGGAGGCGCAAGTGCTGTCTGGCGGCGGTGGGCGCGGGCCGGGAGCCGGGCGGCCCCTCCAGGCGCCTCACAGGAGACTGGCCAGGCTGGTGTTGGGTCCATTCTGAGCCTGGAACTGCACGGGGGGTGGCCCGTCTGTCCACTGCGGGGAGGAGAGGACGCGATGGGTGAGGTGGCACGGGCCGTTCCCAGGACAGCGAGCCTGGACGCTGCTCCCCTGGGGCCGTCGCCCGGCGGGGCCCCTCTGTCCTCCACGCCCGCCCCAGCCACAGGCGCCAGGAGGCCCCTGCACCGCCGCCCGGTGACAGTGTCTGTCGCCGTCTCCCACAACAGGGGGAGCTCCCGGGGCAGAGTCAGGCTTTGCCGGACAAAGACACACAGCCGAGGGGGCCCTTTCCTGCCCCAGGCGGGGGGACCGCTGGGGAGCCCGCCAGCCCCACCCTGCCCCACGCCCATACCGTGATGAGGTTGTGCTCAGGGAGGCTGCAGGCCTCGATGTGGTCTTGGAGCAGCTGCTGCGAGAAGTTCTGGTGCATCTGGGCAGCCTCGTGGGCGTCCATGGCGTTCCCGCAGGCCTTGTTCAGGTCTGGGGGGAGACAGGTGCGTGCCGGCGACTGTCTGCCCGACCACTGCCCCCCACTGGGTGCAGGCGGAGCCCTAAGGTCGCGCCCGGCTCCACCAGTGCATCTCTGGATGCCTGGCATGTCCTGGCACCGGCCGAGCCCTGTCTCGGGATGGCAAAGCCACGTGCCCGCTGCCTGAGGGGCAGGACAGGGCTGGTCGGCAGCACCGGGAGGGCCCCGTGCTGGGCTCCTCACCAGCCCACCCAGGGGGCCCCAGCGCTCGGGCGTCTGTCGGGCAGGGGCCCGACACCCTGTCCTGTGGGGTGGGTGAGACTGCACCGCCCCTCCTCCCCAGGCCCTGGGCACAGCTCTGGACCCGTTTCCTAGCCGGGGGTGGGGGGCCTGCAGTGTGAACATCACTGGGTCCCGCTGAGCACCCAGAGCCCCCTGGCTGGGCCTGTCCTACAGGGCGACCACTATCGGCCTCTAGGGGAGGCAGCCGGGGCAGAGCCAGGGCTTGCTAAGCCTCCGGGCACGTGCAGACGGAACCGGCCCGGCCCGGTGCCTGCCGCACTCCAACAGGAGGACCTGCTACCCGTGCCAGGCTGGGGCCACGGTCCAATGCCAGGCCAAGCAGGGCTTGCCCAGCAGCCCCGACCTCCGGGTGGGCCAGGCCAGGGTCGGGAGGAGGTGCAGCTGCTGCACTTACCCCTCAGCAGGGCCGACGACCACAGCTGCACCGACATGTCTGGGATCTTGCTGGCCAGCTGCATGGCAGGCACCACCATGTTGTTACTCTCCTGTCAACCAAGAGCAGCCGCGACAGGATTAAGGGGACAGTCGCAGGGACAGCCTGGGACCCATCTGCCAAACCCAGCCAGGGTCGTGCTATTCTGCTGCTGCCTGGAGAACTCCTACTCCTACCTTGCAGCCCATTTCAAATGGCCCTCTCGGAAGTACTCCTGGCCCACCTTGAGAAAAACAAACTACCCTCACTCTTGGCTCTGCATGTTCCTTCTCAGCGGGGCTTGGCCAACGGGCAACTCCGGATGCCCCTGTCTTTCCAGGTGGAAAAAAAGGCACCAGTGGCAATTAGCTCTCTACCAACAATATGAACCAATTAGAAACGTGGGTTAATCCAGGGGACCCAGGACCTGGGAGGGGCAGCAGCCTGCCCCAGGCCTGTTCCAGCAGGAGCAAAGGGGCTGAATGGGTAAAGAAGGGACAAAGGAAGGTATGTTTTCCTTTTTCTTTTTTTTTTTTTGAGACAGAGTCTCACTCTGTTGCTCAGGCTAGAGTGCCGTGTTATCAGCCTAGCTCACAGAAACCTCAAACTCCTGGGCTCAAGCGATCCTCCTGCCTCAGCCTCCCGAGTAGCTGGGACTACAGGCACGCGCCACCACACCCAGCTGATTTTTCTATTTTTTGTAGAGACGGGATCTCATTCTTGCTCAGGCTGGTATCGAACTCCTGACCTCAAATGATCCTCTCGCCTTGGCCTCCCAGACTGCCAGGATTACAGGTGTGAGCCATCCCGCCCGGCCACCCTCAGCCTCTTCTGAACACGTCATGTTTCATAACATGGCAAAATGTTTTCTTTAAAGAGACGGTACAGGTCTGTAAGGTCAGATGGGACAGCGCAGGCAATGAGTGGGCTGGGGGGACTGCCAGTTGCAGGAGGGGACCATCGCTGGGGGCCCTCGGTGCCCTGCAGGACACTGTGTGTGACGGGTGGTGGTGGAGCACACAGGAAGGGGCACCCGCTGTCGTCCCTGCCAGCGAGGGCAGCCCCACTAAGCCCTGGGGCTGTGCCCGACCAATGCGGAAAGCACGAGGCCAGCGCCCCCTCCCCCCCGCCCGGGCCTGCCGTCTGCCCTGTGCTTGTGCCCGCTGTGGGTGCCAAGCGCCCTGCCCCGCCGGCCCCCAGCGAGGAGCCCAGGCCTGCACTCACCCTGTGGTTCCCCAGCACGTAGAAGATGTGGCCCAGCAGAACGAGGGAGCAGGCCGTGAGCCGGTTCAGGTCCTCCGCATTGGACATCTTCAGCGTTTCTCGCAGAAATCGCCTGCACGGGGGGGAACACGGATGCTGCCGCCTGGCTGCCGGACGGGGAGAGGCACCCCCACCCCCCTTAACCCCCCACCCCCGGCACGGGGCCGCCCGGCACTCACTTGGCCTCGTTGTAGCGGCCCTGGAAGAAGGAGAAGAGCCCACGGACGTAGAAGGCCGCTGCTCGCAGGCAGTGTGAGCTGCGGTGGGGAGCGGAGCGCCATGTCAGGAGGGGTTCCCGGGAAACAGCAGGTTTGCAAAGGGGCAGTGTGCTCAGGGAAGCCTTGGGAAGCCCCGTACAGAGAGTGGGGGCGCACGGGCACTCTGGGGCCCCACGGGGGCTCGTGCCACCCACGGAGCATGTCAGGAGGGGTTCCCGGGAAACAGCAGGTTTGCAAAGGGGCAGTGTGCGCGGGGAAGCCTTGGGAAGCCCCGTACAGAGAGTAGGGGCGCACGGGCGCTCTGGGGCCCCACGGGGGCTTGTGCCACCCACGGAGCACAGGGAGCCCGTGATGGTGCACGCGTGGCCCCTGGGCCGCTCACCTGACGGGGAAGCTGTGGTCGGGGTTTATCCTCTCCAGCAGGCTGTACAGCTGGGGGGGAAACGCCAGTTAGGGCCAGGCTGCTCCGCCACGCGGAGGGAAAGGGCGGCCGGCACATGCGGCTGAGGCGCCCAGGGCTGCCGCGACCCGGCAGCCTGGATCCCACGCCCTGGGCTCCCGGCCCCTGAGCAGCGAGCGGGAGGGGGTGGGTCTCAGTGTGAGGCTTTCTTCACACCCGAGAGGGGCCTCCAGGGACACTGAGGCCCAGTGACTGACTGGCGAGAGGAGAGCGGTCCCTGGTGCAAAGGGCCTGGGGTGGGGCCCGCACACTCCGCTACTCTGCCTCGTCCCAGGTGGGGGGTTGGGGGAAGGTCCGAAGGCTGGTCTACACGGGCCCTGGGGGCCAGGGGGCGATGGGTTTTCCCATGCGGGGACCCTGAGGGCTGAGGCTGCACCCAGACACCCCCCCTCCCCCCGGGGGCAGAGACGCAGCAGAGCCGGCCCCTCCACGACACCCTGCGCACTCACCCGGCCCCAGACCACCCTGCCGGCTGTGTCCTGACTGCTCGGGCAGCCGGGGCTGGGCCTTCTGCTCCTGCGACCCAAACCCCCTCCCGGGAGGAATCTGGGGGGTTGGCTACCTTTTTCGTTAGACAAGAGCCAAAGGGGGCCTGAGCCAGAACAAAGGCTGTGCAGGTGGGGGGGAAGGGGCCCAGTTGGGGACACTTTAGAGGGTGACTCCAGGGCGGGGGGCGGTGGCAGGAGGAACCTGCCCCTCTGTGAGAGCCGGCTCAGACGCCGAGGGCAGGGCACGTGGCCTGTGAGGGTGGACCTGAGCACACCCACCCCCAAGGCTGGCGGCACAGGACCGGCCCAAGCCGCTGCCCCTCGGGACTGAGCCCCAGGGCCTGGCAAGGTGCTGGAGCAGACAGCTCAGGCTACTGGGCGGCAGATTTTTCCCGTGGGAGTTGATAAAGCGTGGCTCTTGTTGAACAGGGAAAATGTTCCGTGGATGAAGGAATGTCTTTTCCCCAGACCTGGCCTCTCCCAGCCTCGGCCGCCGACCCACCTCTGGCCTCGCTGCTGTGCTTCCGCACAGGGTGCCGCCCCCGTCGGAGCCCGAACACCCCGGGGCTTGCTGAGATTTGGTGCCCGGACAGCCCCCCGGACCCCGGATAAGAGGGGAATGGAGAGAAAGGATACCAAACATGAAGCATGTCACCTACTACCTCTTGGTGTCTATTTCCTTCCCGTATATACACACTCGCCAGGTTGGTCACGATGAAGGCCCACAGCTCCTGGTGGTTGGTGAGCTGGAAAGGAGACGCCACGTTAGGGGGCTGGGAGCTCCACGGCAGCTACTTCGGAAATAACCTGTTCTCTTCATTTTGGACGCATCCCGCTCACCCCTAAGCCCGAGGGTGACGGGACGGTTGGAAAACAGAGAAAAGGCAAACGGCCACTCCTGATCCCCCTGGGAACGTGCTGTCTCTGGGCCTATTTCCTGCTGTCTCTCTGCACTGAGACCTGGCGGCCCGTCCCCCACACCACTGCGGGCCACCTCTGGGACCCGGGTGCATGCTGGGGAAGAGGCACACGCCAGTCCCACAAGGACTGCTCTTCCCAGGGTGGCGGGGCGGGGAGCTGTCACCCGGGGGCACAGGCGCTGCCCCATAGCTCGTGACACTGTGTCAGAGCTTGGAAACGCCGGCGATGACCAGTGGTGCGGGGACTGTGGCGTCCCTGGCTCTTCTGGGGGGACGAGAACAGTCAGGAGAGGGGCCAGTTGAAGTGGCTCAAGTGCTGCCCAGATCCCGGCTCCCAGCGGGGCTGGGCAAGAGGCTGAGGGAGCCCGGCAGGTGTGGACCCCCCCCACGGGACCCTGGCCCGGCCGAGGAGGACCAGAGGGTCTTCTGAACCAAGCAAAGATGCTCTGGGAGCAGCACGGGTGGGGATGTCTGCTGTGGGACACAGGAGGAGCACGCTTGGGGCCAGGTGGGTTTGGACTGGCACCTGGCGTCACTGCTTCCCGGCTGGGCCCGGAAGGGAAGCCCCCTCCTGGCCTGGTGGGGAGGACTGCAGGGGTGTGTGGCCTCGGGCACTTTGATGCTGCAGCAGTAGCAGCCCTTCGTGGGAGTGAGATGGGGAGGTGGCCAGACCGTCGCGGCACCGGGAGGGGTCCGGGCGCTGCTGCGGCAGGAGCCAGCCAGAGCCGGGGAACGAGGGGTGGGGGCAGAAGAGCAGGCGCCGAGGCCGCCTTCACGCCCAGGCACGCCTCTGCAAGGCACCTGTGCACCTGAGGCCAGTAGCTGGCAGGCGACACCCACAGACACGTGGAACACCCCTGGGGGCAGAGGGGAGACCCCCATGCCCCATTCAACAGGCAGAGGGTGGGCACTGCACTCCCCGTGACCTCGCTTGAGATGGGGCTAGAGCAGCGCTCGCTCCCTGACATCTCTACTGGGGACCTTCCCGGAACCACCCGGAAGGAAGTCACGGCCTCCGTTTCCTGTGAGGACACTGAGGCTGAGGCAGGGACACACTGTCTGGTCTTAGAGCAAGGCAGGCAAAGCTGGGACCGGGGCCTGGGCTGGGTCACCCTTAGGGGTGTGGCAACAGCAGCCTTCTTCCAGGGCCCGGTGGGGCCCGGGAGCCTGGGGTGTGTGTGCTCCTCCCTGACGCAGCAGGGCAGGGCTCCTCTGCTCACAGAGCCCCTGGGGGTGATCCAGCTCTGCCACTTGCACGGGCGACTCCAGGGAGCCCCTGAACCTGGGTGACTCCACGTCTTCAGCTGCGACAGGAGCCAACCCAGCCTGGGGGTGGTGGGCGTCGCCAAGGCGCCCAGTCGGACGTAGAAGTGCCTGTGCCTCCCGCTCGCACCTGTCCTGGAGGTAACTCCGGAAGCCCCGCCCCTGGCTGGCCAGGCCCGCCCGCCCCGCAGCTGGGCAAACAGCACGGCGTCCCTGTTAGGCCGGCGTGGGGCTAGCTGCTGAGGGGCTGCCCTCCTGGACCGTGGCTCCGCGTGGCTGACCTAGCATGGCTGCTGTCCTCGTCGCGGACCGCGCCCACGTCCTTACTCGGAAGTGCGGCCCGCCCCAGGGGTGAGGGGGCCGGCACCTTACCCGCAGGGCCGTGGTGAACTGGGCTTCCGCGTTGTCCATGCAGTTGACGGAGACACAGTACAGGCCCTGAAGGCAGAAGGTGGTGTCACCCGGGGCGGCCGCCGGGGGCCCCCAACGAGGCTCAGATCCGAGCCACATACGTGCAGCCTGCCTGGGGCCCCCACGGGCTGCACCTGACAAACACGGCAGGTGACTCTCCCAAGCCAGCTATGAAAAAGGTGACGTGCGTGATAGCTCCACCTCCCCAGACCTAAGTCAACTTGGGACTCGATGAGATGCTTCTCAGAAGAAAGCTCACTGGGGACACTCAGGATTCTGCCTGGGGGTGGTCATGGGGTTCTTCGCCAGGAACGTTCTGGATCCTGACTGAGGTGGTTGCGTGAGTATCGACTGGGAACGTCCCAGACTCGGCCTGGGGTACTGTCTCCGGGTCACTCACCAGCAGCGTGTGCAGCTGTGCGGCGTGGTTGGAGAAGAGCCGGGGAGACTGCTGGCACAGCTGGCAGACCTGGGAGATCTGCGGGAGAGAGCGTGCCGCTGTCACCCGGCCTGGAGCCCGGGCCCGAGCAGCACCAGAGGGACCCACAGCTGGCAGGGTGCCCATGCCTGCCTGCCTAGACTGGGGCACAGAGTCCAGCTGGACGCGACAGCAAAGCACGGCCCTGACCCCATCACGGGCGGTGACCCTTGTCCGTTTCCCGCCTTCCCAACGTGTGTCTTGGCTGAGAAGTGCCACCGGCCTACTTGAGGCCCCCGTGCCCTCTCGGCAGGGTGGGCACCTGAGGCTGCAAACTCTGGGGCAGGACAGGGTACGAGGGTCACCATCGGAGGACCTCGAATCCTGGACGCCACGTACAACACCCCCTGGGCGTGCCAGCTTTTGGGAAAGGGGCCACTGGTGTTTGCACCAGGTTCTCTACTCAGTCATCCCCACGCAGGGCTGTGACCTGCTGAGTGACAGTGAGACAGCACGACACAGCGTCCTGTGTCGTGTGACTGGTGAATCCCAGCTTCCCGTCTGAGACCTCCAGGACCTGGCAGTCCCCGCCGTCTGCACGGCCCCACTGGCCCTACCTCCTGCAGCGCCGTGGCCTTGTGCCCCGTGACGAGCCGGCACATGATGATGTGCTCCAGGAGGATCACTTGGAAGGAGGACAGGATGGGGCTGCAGTCGAGCACTGTGGAGGAGAGTCTCGGGTGAGCATGTGGGCGGGAGGCGCTGGCCGGCCCCACCTCGCCCCCACCCCTGCCCGTCTCCTGCCACGGCAGCCTGGCACCCGCCCCGCCATCCTCCCCAGTCCTCACTGCACCCTCAGTGCGGGGGAGCTCCTCTGCGTCCAGGTGAGGAGACAGCGCGGGAGTCGGGGACTGACTGCCGGAATGTTCTAAGAGCAAGGAATCTGCGGATTTGTCTTTGATTCTCACCCCACTAAGCACGCAAGGGCATCTGGATATGGCAGGTTCTAGAAACGTGGAAGCTGCCTTGGATCACGAGAGCCTGCGACGGGGCCCCAGGTGGCAGTTGGGGGCCCCAGGCGGGGCCCAGCTCCCGGCAGCCCTGAGCAGCTGTCTGCGTGTCGAAACCACACAGCACGGCTCTTTCCCAGTCTGGCCACGGAGAAAGAGACACGCAGGCCCCTCGGGCTTTGGTCCTCCCCATTTCTAACGACTGTTCCCTCAGCAGCACTCCCAAGGGCAAATTAACGCATGCTGAGCCAGCCAGGGACGCCAGGGGCTCTGGGTTTGTGCCAGTCAAAGGTCCCTGGTCTCACAGGATGGATTAAGTAGGTGAGTGGCTGGAAGGAACCTGTGACCTCCAGAGGACCGGCCGTCAGTCTGAGAGCTGAGTTCCAATCACAGCCTGCCCTGAGCACATCCCTGGCACAATGTGGATCATAGTTGGCAAAAGCAGCCACCGATTGCTCCACCTGAGCACCCGGTTTGCTGCAGGGCCCTGGCCCCTGACCCCATGCCTGGCCCGCTGTGCTCTGACACCCACCAACTGCGGATGAAGAGACCACCCCCAGGCAGGGACCACTCCAGAGCTGTGGTCAGTCAGGGTCATTCTGCCCCAGCACAGGCAGCGCCTGGCTGGGTGCCCACCAGGGGGCGCTGTGGCCACACAGCCACTGGACACTCACTTTTTTGTTTTTTTGAGACAGAGTCTCTGTTCCTTGGACTAGAGTGCCTCGCTCACAGTAACCTCAGACTCCTGGGCTCAAGCAATCCTTCTGCCTCAGCCTCCCAAGTAGCTGGGACTACAGGCATGCGCCACCATGCCCGGCTATTTTATATATTTTTAGCTGGCCAATTAATTTCTTTCTATTTTTAGTAGAGACGAGGTCTCGCTCTTGCTCAGGCTGGTTTTGAACTCCTGACCTTGAGCAATCCTCCGGCCTCAGCCTCCCAGAGAGCTAGGATTACAGGTGTGAACCACCGCGCCTGGCCTGGACACTCACTCTTGAGCTTCTCCAGCTGCATGAGGGCCTTGTCCGTGTACTTCTGTGCCTTCTCCAGGTAGCCGGCCTGCATGGAGTGCATCACGGTCACCTGGTGACGAGACGGACGGCAGTGGGTACTGGGGTCCTTTTCCCACCCGCCCACCCCCGCCTCAGGCCCGGCAGGGACGCACCAGGTAGACAAGCACACACATGTGCTCCTTGGGCAGCCAGTGGAAGAGGTCGGCGGGGTTGCTGGGCAGGATCTCGTCGTCGTGCAGCGTGGAGATGGTCTGGATGCACTGCTGCAGCTGCTTCAGGCATGGCTTCACGCTCTTCACCTGCGGCGGGCACCCTCGCCTGAGTGCCTGCTCTTGCCGTGGCTCCCCACCAGCAGCCAGGGCCCTCGGGAGGAGGCCAGGCCCGACCCAGCCACCCCTCTGCCCCTTCCTCCTGGGGAGTCCACCTTCCCCTCCTGCCACATCCTCCTCCTGGGAGAGGGACCCACCTCCCACCCCACCCCTGTGATTAACCGGCCTCTCAGGGCACAAGGCAGGGCCAGGCAGATCGTCGAGACACCAAGGCCCAGGAGGGGCCTGTCTCCAGAGCCCGCTGGAGCTGCACTGGGCCTTCCTGCAGCCAGACCCCGAGAGGGCAGGAGCAGAAGTAAGAGTAGGCGGGGACACCTCAGGGGTGGGAAGTGGCCCAGGCATCCCGCAGGTGCCATGGCTAACAGACTGGCCCATCTGCACTGGGAAGCCCTGCCCTGAGGCCCTGGGATGTCTCTGCACCCCTGCACCCCGTGGGAATGGGTGCAGTCCATTCTGCATTCCTACACACTGAGCTGGTGCTTGCCCTAATGGGCAAAGGGTGGGGAAACTGAGGAAGCCCCTTGCCAAGGTGCCCACACAGCGCTTTCTGGGCCCTTGGTGCTGCTGGGCTCCACCAGTGACTGGCCCACTGGGACAGGGGTAGGGCTGAGGGGGACAAACAGCCCCACCCTGCAAAGGGTCAAGAGGGTCACACAAAACACAGGGACAAGGTATTTGAACACAGCTGCTCCTCACCCACTAGGGGTTAAGGAGTCCAGTCTCAGGACATGGCTGGGTCCCTACCTACTCAACCTCACAGCTGGGGGGCGCTGTGAAGACACTGCTTGAGCACCTGCTCCGTGCCAGGCACCACCCCCAAACCCGCATGGTTTATTCTCTTGGATTCTCTGAGCATTCAATGGAGGCCTTGGAGGCTTTGGGCGTTTTGTGCACTGTGTGTGAGGCCACATGTCACAACTTCTAGGATGAAGGCAGGGCCACTAGGACGGACCCAGCTCCCAGAGACAAGAGCATCTGGCAAGTGTGTACCAGAGCAGGCCGGGGCGTGTACGTATCGGGGCTGGAATGGCAGCCCTGCCATGTGAGGAGAGGTGATGACAGAGCGGGCCTTGTGCCGGAGGCCCACCGTCCAGTGCCACCCGTGCCTACCCGCCGCCCTCTAGCAGCCCCCCCGGAGAGGCGCCACGCACCTGCCCCGCATCCAGGTAGTGGGTCACCTGCAGCACCAGGAAAAAGACGCGCAGCGACTCCTTCTGGATGGGGTTCCCCTGCCAGTTCTCCACGATCTGGCCACAGAGGGTGAGCAGCGGGTGGACCTCCTGCAGCTTGCGCTCCATCAGCAGCAACTGTGGAGGGGGAGGCGCCTGAGCTGGGCCGTGGGACTTGTGGGAGCCCCTCCTGGGAGCACGGGGCCACCTGCCCACCTGCCCGCCTGCCCTGGGCGTGCCACTCCTGCCCCGGGGGGCAAAGCCAGCCTGAAATCCCAGCCCCAGCAGCTCGAAACCAGGCTCCTGCCTCGGCACAAATCGAAGCACAACTTGTGGTGGCCCCAGCCCCATCTCCCCAGTACCTGCGGGCACCTGGCCACCCCGCCCAGCCTTGACTTACCATCCCCTTGCTGAGGAGGAACAGTGCCCTGGAAAACAGAGACAGGGAGTCAGGTCTGAGAAGGCCCCGGAGCCTCCCAAGCTAACCGTGGCTGCCCCGGTGCTCAGGGGACCTCATGTGCCATCTCGGGGGAGGCTAAACGGATGACAGGGAACGGTGCCCACTGGGGTTTGTTTGATGTGCAGACTGCTCTGCTCTGTCTTGTTCTATCTGCATTCACTTTTCTTCCACGGTGCAGACACACCAGCGTGGCTCAAGAGCCCAGGAGACATAGCACTCGGGAGGCCGAGTTCCAGGCAGGGTGGAGGACAGCACGCCGCTCCAATCTCGGTCCTGCTGACGCGGCGGACATGGGCTCGGCGTCGGCAGCCACGCTGGGCGGGGGCGGGCGGCGCCCTTGGGCCCGTCTGCCCTTCACTGCCTGGTCCATGAACTGGGCTGAGCCCCCTCGGGTGCCTCTCGGGGTGAAGGGGGCGAAGTCGGGAAGCCCCGGGCACATCGCAGCCTCACCTCTGGCCACCACCTCCACCCTCGGGAGACATCTACGGTCTCTCTCAAACCTCCCGCGCTCTCTAGAGCAGCACGTGCAGCTGTCCTCGGCGGGAAAGGTAATGCAGCAATATCAAGGAGAGTTCAGAGAACAGTCAAAGCAACAGCGGAGGGATGTGGGTGGCCCTGCCTGGACCTGCCTTCAGGAGCAGCTGTAACCGTGCAGTGCCGATCTTGGGGAGCCCCCCGTTTTCTCAACACCGAATCCTGTCCTCTGCCATCCTTCACAGGGCACCCGTGTGCTGTGGCCGACACGCTGCCAAGGAGGAGCTGCTCTCCCCATTACAGGTGAGGAGACCAAGGCAGAGACGTCGAGTTTACGAGTTTGAGGGACAGAGCAGGGACACGCGCTGAGCAGCCCGCCCCCAGGCAGGGGAGCTGCGCCCCCTGTCATCCACTAGGGAACACCAGGATCTACCTACCCATCTTCTGCTTCTTCAAATCTAAGAGAAGAGACATGACATCAAGGTTCCCATGTTGTCTCACAAAGAATGCACCTGCTTAGAGGCCCTGAGCCGGGAGACCCGCGGGCGCCGACCCTCGGCCGCTCTGCACAGACCCCATGTCCACTCCACGCTGGCTGCCCAGAGCAGCCTGCCTGGGAAACACGCAGGGCAGTAGGTGGGTGCACAGGCAACAGCTCTGCCCCGCCCCCTGGCAGCACGCTAGCGACAAGGACGCCCTTTGGGGAGCTGTCGGGAGTGGCGTGGTGACCTGTGGGCGCTCACAGGTCTAGAGCTCAGAGGGAGACCGAGAACAGAGTTGGGGGCTGCTGTGTCCTGACAACTCCACGGGACGAGCTCACTCTGACAGACAGGGGCCGGTCCCAGAGCACTCTGGCTCAGGCCAGGAAGGCCCTTTGTGGGAACTTTCTAGAATCCCCCCACACGCAGAAAGAGTGCTGCCTGGAACCTGCCCACTACAGAGGATTCCTGTGTGTGTGGGGAGACAGAGAGGAGGCCTCGCAGAGGGCACCCGGAGCACACGAGCTCCCTGACCTCTGACCCCACGGTACCAGTCTCCAGACAGCTTAAGCGGCTCTGTGCACGTCGCGAGCCTGCGTCCCGTCTGCTACACTAACGCCGGCCAGCTCGGCTCCTGCTAGGCACTGACAAGCTCCTTGCTCCCCTGAGCGGGTGGACACTGGCGTGGCCTACGGTCAGCGCCGTGCATGCCCCACACCGACGAGGACACGCCTGTGCGGTGACGCCCAACAGCCGAGCAAACGAGACCAGCGCCTTTCATTGCAAGGACGCTAGAAACGAGCAGCGCCCATGGCGTGGAGCAGCCCGGCCGCCCCTTGCCCTCAAGAACTCGACTGGCAAACGTTTTACTCCATGAACGACGGTGCAAGGAGCGTCCCGGTGCGGCTTTAGTCTCCATGCCTCTCGGTACGCGGGAGGGTGGACATCCTTCCACGCTGCAACGCCGATTCTGTTTGCTGTCCCGGAGTAAGAGGGCTGAGCCCTTCCTACGCAAGGGTGGGGGAGGGGAGCCGATGCCTACCGTGTGTACTCGGATCCCACCACCCGGGCGTACTCGGCCCCCACGCCCAGGAGGTCACAGGCTGACACCAGGTCCTTCTCAAGCGTATGCAGTTGCTAAAAAGGAGAGAGCAATGACCTTCGCTGCCAAGCCCCTCAGTTTTACAGAGCCTGGCCTGGCTGCAAGTTCAACCAAACCTCCCCACACACCCACAAAATTGCCTTAGTGTCAGTTTTGAGCTAAATTAACCAAATTATCTCATCAAGGTTAATTGCTTTGGATATGGAGCTCCAGACGGCCTACAGAATATATGTCGTCTAAACTTAATGGTACCTACAGCACACGTTGTCTAAACTTAATGGTGCCTAGAACCAGCAGTTAATGTTTGCTGGGCACAGACTCCGCCCCTGCCTCCCTCCTCCCGGCTATGCGAGTGCCCAGGGCTGTCTGAGCGCATCCTAGGTGACCTGTGGGGTTGAGTCACTGGGGGCATCTCCAGGGCCCACAAGGAGAGACTCCCTCAGGGGTAAGTGTCTAGGGGAGTTTCAAATCCAAAAGCCCTAAGAGGCTGAAAGGGGACAAGCACCTCGCTTGACCCTGGAAGGCACACCTGTGGCACAAGCACACGACCCACCAACTCTGTGACCTAGGACAGGTAACTCACTCACTGCCTGGCCTGCTCCCTCCTCTGCCCGTGGGCACAGGTGTGTATGGGACGATTACAGGAGCCAGCATGTCCAAGTGGGGCCAAAGCGGGCCTCAGGGGAGAAGGGCCTTGGGAGCCCCCACTGCTGGATGAGCTTTGCCCATTAGGGCACTTTCCCAGCCAGACCCTCCTGGGGTGAGGAGCTCCCTGGAGGACACTCCCAGTCCAGGGTCCACATGCTGCCTGCCTAGGTGGGGGACAGGGCTGTGTCATGGGGATGGCCTGGAGGGCAGGCTGAGTGAGGGACTAGAGAGGCTGGGGGCCAGCCAGAGAAGGGACAGCTGTGGGTGCCCAGTCACGGGGAGGTACAGCAGAGCCCAGGACAGAAGAGGTGCCCACACGATGGTGCCCGTGGCCCCGTCACTGCAACCAGGAAGGCCTGGCCTAGAAAGGCACCCCCTCCCCCAACTGAGCATCTTGGAGGGCAGGCACCGGGGCACCACCGACGTCTGGGGAGCTAAAGGGAACCGGAAGGGGAACCCTGTGGATGCCAGCATGAGGCTATGCCCCAGTAGCCCCTGAAATGGGGGCTCTGGGAAACGAGGCTCGACTTGGGCATCTGTCGCCCAGAGGCAGCCCCTTGGAATCTCAGTGCAGCTCTTACAAAAACGCAGCCGGCCTCTGGCAGGAAGCTCCCCAGCTTTCAATAAGCGCGGGCCGGGAGGAGCAGCCAGGAGGAGGCTGAGCACCATGCCCTGTGCCGGTCCCCGGGGAGACAGGCACTCCCGCTGATCACCCCTGGGTGCTGCCGAGAGCCGGGCCTGAGCAGGGCGTGCTGCTGGGGACAGATGCTGGAGGAGGCTTGTGAGCCGGTTAAAGGAACACCCCCACATCCCCTGAGTGTCTGTGGGGGGCGGGGGGTGTGTGTCTCAGGTTCTGCTGTTACTTGTACTCGCGGGGCGTGTGCCCCGGGGTCGTGGCCCCGTGGGCCTGTCTGGGCCACGGCACTCACCGCGAGCTGGAAGAGCAGGCGGCAGTGCCAGTACGGCGTCTGCTGAGAGATCTGGATCGCCTTCCGCAGCAGCGGCTTTGCTGCATCCACGGAATTCTGAAAGGAAACAGTCACGTTTGAGGAGGAGAAGGAGAAGTAGAAAAAAAAAAAAACACAAGCCGGGTTCCTTAGCGGCAGCTGTGGTGCCAGAAGGCGGTTCCTGTTCATGCTCACCAAAGGATTTTTTTGGATTGCCAATTAAGTTTATTAAAAGCAAGAAAGATATTTTATTGGGCTCGCTAGCTGGGAAGTTTTTGCGCCACTCTTAAAATAGCTTCCCGTTCCACTAAACTGACAGTCGCTTCAGTTCAAAATCCTTAGCAGTCATATTGGAAGCGGGTCTCCAAATCTGTGTTCTCAGACCAGAGAGAGGTAGCAGGGGTGTGAGACACACCTCCCTGCCGCCTGGCCACCTTAGGGTGTCACGGTTCCAAGTGGAGGAAGGTGAATTTTCAGCTACAACTGAAATAAGAAACCGGATTAAGGCGGCAAACTGTGTGGACTTGTTAGGCTAGGAGCGAGGCTGCCTTTCCCACTGGTCTTCAGCAGAAAAAGAATCTGCCAGTCCTTGTTAGCATGTGACTGCCCCAGTGCCGGGGTGTGAGAGGTAGGAAAGCAATTTGAAAAGTTAAAAGCCAGAGGGGATTTTAGCTCTCCGGAGCTGCCGTCTGCCATCGTGTCTTGGCGACAGGGAGAGACACACTTTGCTTTCAGAAACCTAAATGTGTTCTTACCTCTTGACAATATAATTCAGATAACAGACTTGCTGCTTCAAATTTAACATCTTCAAACTGCGGGATCTAGTGACATCCAGTTAAGGAAGTACCGAGAATGCAAGAAAAGGTCAGTTTAAAAGGCTACAGTTTGGGGCTCGAGAGCTGCAGATGTCTGCCAGGCAGCCTGTCCCTGCCTGCCTCGAAATTCCAAGTTCTCACATCCGCCAGCGAACCTGAGCTTGTCGCAGGGCGGGGCTCGGAGCTGGATGCCGGGGTGTGAAGGGAGGACCACAGGAGCACAGCATCCAGGCGAAGCTGCTGGCCTCAGAGGCGGCTGAGTGAGGATTTTCTAGGCGGCCTGTGGGGCAAATCCTACACTCTCTGGTTACTACAACCTGAGATGGGATTCAAGCTTCTAAGACCTTGTTATTCAAACAGAGAATTCCTTAAAGGGAACAGCACGAACAAGAAAAGGATACTTGCTGTGATATTAACCACTGAAAGAGAAAGAAAAAAGAATTAATTCTCAAGCAGACACTCGGCATCTGGTTATGGCTCGCTCTGGGGTTTGCACAGGTTGTCCTGTTACCAAAGGCTGCCCAGTGTGCGGTTAAGTGGGAAGGTGGCCTGCTCGGCCTGAGAGGCTGGGCTCGCTTTCCCTCCAACCCAGCAAGGGGAACAGAAGCCACAGAGTGCCTGGCAGGGGCTTGGGGGAAGAAGGGACACCGCCTTCTGACAGAGAGGAAAGGCTGGTGCTCTGAAGTCAGACCCTACCCGCCGGTGGCCAGGACCGATTCAGGGGGAAGGAACGCAAAGGCGACCTGGTCCCACCAAGGCCCCCATGTGCCACAGTGAAGTAGGGCCGCCTCTCAGGCAAAGCATTACACAAGGAATCAGGTACAACCGGAGAGTGGGTCTTACGGTGTCAGTCCTTCATGAAGAGGTGACAAGTAACAGCAACGTGGAAATGAGCAAAGTGAGGCTCACAAAGGAGGGGTAAGTGCTGGGATGATGCTGAAGACACGAGCCAAGAATGCAGTTCAGACCGTAACAGGATCCCACTCAGGGACCACCGTGCCCAGGTTCCATGTTCCAGAAGGCTCCTGGGCTAGCCCACCACGCCGCCCACGGTCAGACCACCCAGCACACACACCCCATGCTGCTCCTGCCAGGTACCACAGACATTTGTGGGCCAACTGATGCCTGCCAAGAGCCTTGGCGGTTGCCGGACGGTGGATCTGGAGCTGAAGAGAAGACGCAGCTCCCCATGCTTTGTGGGAAAACAGTATGGGATGGGGACACCTGGGGCCGGGCCTTGAAAGGAAATGAGGGGGGATTCCCAAGGCAAAGGGGGAGTAGGAGGTGTTCCAGGCAAAGAGCCCATGAAAAAGGCACAGAGGTCCAGGGAGGAGAGGCTGGAAGGCCCGACAGGTCTGTGTTATTCACATGGCAACAGTGGCCACAGTCCCCGTCCCCAGCTGTGGGTCAGAATGTCCCTGATGTCACCCCTGGAGCCTGATCCAGTCAGGGGCAGAAAAGGACAGCACCCGACAAAATCTGAATTTTAACACCTTCCTGGGTGCACCAAAAAGAACGAGTGAAGAGAGGGAGGAGGAGCCAGGGAGGCCGGGAGGTCAGCAGGTGGGGGTGAGGGCCAGGGCTGGAGACGCCTCTGGCGTGAGGGTGACCAGCGGCTGGGGAGACATGGAGCTGTTTCTGAAACCAAATGTCCATGAGACACAAGTGGGCCACGAGGGATGGCTTTGGGAGTGTGAGCGAGAGCAGGAGCCACAGGCTCTTGTCACATGCGTGCACACAAGCACGTGCACAGAGGCCGAGCGGTCCAGGCAAGAGGTGCTTTGCAGCCAGCCCACGTGTCTGCCTCCGCTGGTCCCCTCCTAAGGCCTCCCTCGTGGCAGGGACAGGAGGGGCTGGAGGTCTTCAGCGGGGCAGGGCAAGGGCCTGCCACCAGCAGTGTGGCCCCAGTGGTGAGGCTCCTCAGCTGGAGGCCATGTTTGGGGGGACAGCAGGAACACGTGTGATGCTGACGGAGGGGAAGTCAGGGTGCTTTCCACAGAAGCAGCTGCTCCCCACAGACCAGCAAGAGAATAGGCACAGAGCACCAAGAGAAGCTCCAGAAGGCCACCGACTGGGAAGGATGCCTGGTCACAGAGGAAAAAGGGGACACCTGGAAGAGGCAGAGGAGATGAGCTAGAGCTGGGCTGGGGTCCCCCCCAACCCTGAGATCCATCTCCGGTGCCTCGTGGTTTTGTGATTGGTCACCATGGGGCAGGCAAGGCCCCCACGCGGAAGGGGAGCCCTTCAGAGAGTCCAGGGTGGATAAATGGCATGCTGCCATGTACGACAGGCAGACACCCAGCCTGGGGACCAAGATGTAAACCTGGCACCCACAGCTGAGCTTCTGGGTCAGGCCCGGACGTGCCTCAGACCTGTGATAAAGCCGGCCCCATTTCTGTGTCACTGCACCCAGCAGAGGCAAGCAAGGAGCTAGGACAAGAGGTGAATCCCCCCAACCCTATGTGGGCAGACAGGCCTTCCTTCAAGTCTGTGGCCCAGGGACACTCCCTGCCCCCCCACTCAAGGCCCGCTCCCAGTTTGGAGCTGAGGACAGTGCACACAGGCATGTCTGTGGCAGGTGGACTTCGAGGGATGCAGCCGGTCGCTTGCTGCCTGGGGAGGGCCCCACCACGCCACTCCTGCAAAGCTTCAGCCTGTGCCGCAGAGCTCAGGCCTGCAAGGGCCCGCCAATGTTTCCTCCCCAAAACAGCTTTTCGTCCCTTCTCCCTTTGGGACTTTTGGGTGGCTGTTCAGTGGACAGTTGGGCTGGACCCAATTTCCTCTGACCCACTGACACCTATGCTTTATGAGCCAGATGTGTCTGCTGACAATCAGCTTCCCTCTCTGCCAGCTCCTCTGTGTTCTGACAGGAGAGCCAGATAAAGAATCCAGTCCACAGACTCACGGCCACCGTCTCCTGGTTATTATTTGATGTTTATTATTATTTTGAGCAGTCTCACTCTGTTGCACTGGCCGGATGGGTAGGCAAAATCAAACCTACCCAATCACCCACCACACTCCCCATCCTTGGTCACGCGTTACCAGCCCAAATCAGCCCTCAACATGCAGATCCGAACATCGACTACCGACGTGCGCCCCAAACTGCCACGCTATTAAATATATTTATCAATCATCTAATTTTATGAGTGGCCAATAATTTTTACTATTAATTTAGACAGCCGAAAGGTCATCTCTTGACTACGAAGCTGATTTTGCACATCCTGACCTTGAGATGGAAACATATCATACAAACGCCTCAGAGCCAAATCAAAACATCCAACCGATGCCGGCTTCAGGTGTGCGCCCTGGGCCCTGGCTAGCCTCCTTGGACCTGCATATGAGCGCATGTTTCTCCGGTGGGCTTGGGCTGACGTGGTAACGGTTGGCCTTCGTCCCTTCCCAGCCTGCCGTCTGACACCCTCACATATTCATTTGTCTTTGGTACATTTTTAATTGCATCAGAAATATCAGAACCAGAAATTATATCCATCTCACAAATAAAGTATGCAGGATATCCTATCCAAGGATGCTAGGTCATTGCTATGATTTTTAATATGTAATATTATAAGATATCTTTCTTTCTTTCTTCTTTTTTTTTTTGAGACAAAGTCTCACTTTGTTGCCCAGGCTAGAGTGAGTGCTGTGGCATCGCCTAGTCACAGCAACTCGACTCTGGGCTCAAGCAATCCTCCTGCCTCAGCCCTCCGAGTAGCTGGGACAACAGGCCTGAGCCCACCATGTCCGGCTAATTTTTTCTATATATTTTAGTTGTCAATTATTTCTTTCTATTTTTAGTAAGAGACGGGGTCTCGCTCTTGCTCAGGCTGGTTTCAAACTCCTGACCTCAAGCGATCTACCCGCCTCGGCCTCTCAGAGTGCTAGGATTACAGGAAAAAGGTATCTTTTATGTCTCCTTCCTCATGATGGGAAAGAGGCCAAAGTGAGAGCCCCCCTCACCCGAGTGGCCTGCGGCAGCCAGCGCGGACTGTATGTCTTGGGCGAACCGCGGTTGTTGCCTGGGGCTCTCCAGGTAAGCCAGTTCGTGGGGGGTTGGGGGCTGTTGCTGCATGGCCAACAGGTGCCACGTGGGGTGGGAGGGCCCAGGTCAGCACAGCTCTGGTGCCTAGAGGATACAGTCCAAGGCTGACTGTTTCAAGGCTTCTTATTTCTTGAAACCAAAGTAACTTTGCTTTTTTTTTTTAAATCAGGTTTTTCAAGCTGCTACAATATGCAGAAATAGTTACTGACTACAACTCCCCTGGGATAGAAGATGGAAGCAAAGCACTTAGGAGTCTCCCTTGCCTCTTCCTGCTTTGTGAACGCGGCTACGTACATGCTCCTGTGGTACCCGGTGTGGTTATCAACAAGTTGTAAGTGGGCCTTACCCTGTGGGTCTGCGGAGGATCCAGTGAGACCTTGCCCCGAGAAGAACCAATGCAGGGCCTGGCATACAGAAGGCGCCAATGACATCACCGTAATTCGCAAGTGGGAATGTGAAGAATTGGGGTGGAAGTGGAGGAGACCAGTTGGTAGAACCATGAGGTGACAGTTCCTAAACAGATCTCACATCCTGAAGTCAGACGTGACTCAGAGACAGAGAGCAAAGGAAATGGAATCGAGAACAGGAGGGAGCAAAGATCGCTCCTCCATGAAAGCGAAAAGACCAGCTCTGCACAGTCCCTGCTCCCTGCTGATGGAATTTATCAGGCTGCAGCCATGATCCTCAAAGACGAGAGAACTGCTGCAGCTGTGCTGATGAGAAGCAGCTCAAAACTAAGCCCTGCTAGGCCTTGAGAAGACAAAGGGAGGCGTTTCATCACTTGCTGGGAAAGTAAACCTTAGACACTCAGGCTAAACCTGGATGCAGAATTAAAAAGCTTCTGACTGGCACAGTTTGGAACTGCTTTCTAAGTCAGATGAGCAAAACCACCATCAGAAAGCAGCTACATTCTAGATACACACAGATATGCACACGCGGCATTGACAGGGATACACAGTGAGTAAAGAGCCCTGTTCAAACAACAACTGCCTGGATTATAGAAAATAACAAATGATTCCTTCTAGAGAAGTGGCATTCAAATCAGGAAAATCTAAAAATGATGATGCACTTTCAAGGCCAGGGGATAAAAAGTACTATGTGATCAAAAGTAAAGAAGCTAAGAGGGAAAAGGATATACAGGCATATTCTCTTGATGCCGCAGCAGATGTGCAAATGACTGAACTGGATCCATCTGCTTGAAAGACAGGTATGGAAACAAAGCAAAAGCCACAGGGTCTACAAGATGAGAAGACTGAAGAAAATCACACAGGGATAAGTGTGCAGCAGGAAGACAGGAAAGCAAAATAAAAAGGAACAGAATCCGACAGGATCTGCAGAAATGGCTTTGCAAATTCTCTAGCCAAGAAATTTCTGAGTGGCCGGGCCTATAATCCCAGCACTCTGGGAGGCCAAGGCGGGAGAACTGCTCAAGGCCAGTAGTTTGAAACCAGCCTGAACAAGAGTGAGACCCCGTCCCTACTAAAAACAGAAAGAAATTAATTGGCCAACTAAAAATATATAGAAAAAATTAGCCAGGCATGGTGGCACATGCCTGTAGTTCCAGCTACTCAGGAGGCTGAGGCAGAAGGATCGCTTGACCCCAGGAGTTTGAGGTTGCCATGAGCTAGGTTGATGCCACGGCACTCTGGCCCAGGCAACGGAGTGAGACTCTGTCTCAAAAAAAGGAAAAAAAAAAAAAAGAAATTTCTGAGTAAAGTGATACTCCTTATAATCACAAACTATTTACTCAAGGAGTCCCAGAGAGTCAATAATTCTGACAACACATCCCATCACTGCTAAAACCATAATCAAGAAAGCAAGGCTTTCAGGTTAAGTGTCTTGTCAGGCATCCTAACAGCTTCAGAATCTGCTGAGCAGAGCAGGGAATGAGGCAGCAGCAGGTGCTCCGAAGGCCTGCAGAAGCAGGAATCACTGAGGACCAGTGGCCATGACATCAAAAAAGCTGCTGAGGTCTTGAACTTGTATCTATTACAAGGAAAAAAAAAGAGAGAGAAAGAAAGAGAAAAAGAAAGACAAGGAGACACATTCTCCCTGACTCTGATGGGTACATTCAAAGTTGGCACACTTGATGGAAGAGACAGGTAAGTGTATTCCTTCTAGATGGTTTACAAATGCAGTTGAGGAGAAAGTTCAAAACTGTCGGAAGCAGATAGATAAGAAAATAATCTAACCTTATACAAAAATGTGATTGTCAAGGAGTTCAAGGTCTCTTAGATAGAAGGCGAAAGACGAAAATAATAGGGAAGCTAGATAGTGTACTCAGCTCAGTGGCTAAAGGTTTGACCTTGGAGGCCAAGGCAGGCGGATCCTTTGAGCTCAGGAGGCTGAGACCAGCCTGAGCAAGAGCAAGACGCCTCTACTAAAAAAAAAAAAGAAAGAAAGAAATTAGCTGGACAACAAAAAACACTAAGAAAAATATTAGCGGGGCATGGTGGTGCATGCCTGTAGTCTCAGCTACTCAGGAGGCTGACACAAAAGGATCGCTTGACCGCAGGAGTTGGAGGTTGCTGTGAGCTAGGCTGATGCCATGGCATTCTAGCTCCGGCAACAGAGTGAGACTCTGTCTCAAAAAAAAAAAAAAAAAAAAAAAAAAAAAAAAAAAAAAAAAAAACAAAACAGCAGAGAGAATGATCAAGGAGACAACAGTCACAAAATACTTAAGAGATATTTTCTTACCTTAAAAAATTTATTTTGTTATTCTGGGTTAGCTTCCTGAAAAGAAACTGGAACCTCTTTGGCCATTTGCTTTTCAGAACTAGAAAGAAGCAAACCAATTCTAGGAGTAAAAACATATCATGATTCTTTAATGAATGGCTTTGGAAAAGGAAAGAATAAAAGTTGACAGTTGTCTGATTGGGAAAAATGTATGATTAATAAACAGTGAAGACTATTAAAGATAGCATGCTTGTGTTGTAACACAAAAGGAAATCATAGGGTGGGCATGGTGGCTCATGCCTGTAATCCCAGCACTTTAGGGAGGCCAAGATAGGAGGATAGCTTGATGTCAGGAGTTTGAGACCAGCCTGGGCAACACAGCAAGACTCCATCTCTACCAAAAAAAAAAAAAAAAATTAGCTGAGTGTGGTGGTGTGTGCCTGTAGTCACAGCTACTCAGGAGGTTGAGACAGGAAGATTGCCCTGTGCAACAGAGTGAAACCCTGTCTCAAAAAAACAAACAAACAAAAAACCCAGAAATGACAAATGATTACAGAAGGACAAATGGCATGGAAAACAATGTTACTTTAACTGAAATCCAGACACATTCCCAGCTGGGGATGCAACCAACAGAAAGAAAGGAATTTTCAGGCATAAAACGGAAGGGACCATGTGGAAGGGGAAGACCCTACAAGATTCAAAGTTCCATTAAATAGAGTAAAGGTACTTCACAAGGATAAGGATTTAAATGATGGGCCCAAAAGCCAAGTGGTTAAGAGAGCAACTTAAGACATGACTGCTTCCCCTACATGGAAGCCGAGTGGGCGGAACAAGAAAATACACACAGTGACTACTTTTTTTTTTTTTTTTTGAGACAGAGTCTCATTTTGCTGCCCAGGCTAGAGTGAGTGCCGTGGCATCAGCCTAGCTCACAGCAACCTCAAATTCCCAGGCTCAAGCGATCCTCCTGCCTCAGCCTCCGGAGTAGCTGGGACTACAGGCACGCGCCACCAGGCCCGGCTAATTTTTCCTATATTTTTTTAGTTGGCCAATTAATTTCTTTCTATTTTTAGTAGAGACGGGGTCTCGCTCTTGCTCAGGCTGGTTTTGAACTCCTGACCTTGAGCGATCTGCCCACCTCAGCCTCCCTTACAGGCGTGAGCCACCGCGCCCGGCCAAGAACTCTCTCCTTTAAGCAGAACAGAACTGGGTAAATAGCAAAAGAGAAGCAGGGGTCCCACAGGAGCAGAGTTGCTGTGAAAAGAAAGTTTAACGGGCAGAATGACAGTCACTCTCCCACATTCTTTGCTGCACCAAGATGTCACAAGTCGGACTGAGGGGGAGGGAGGGGCTCACTCTGAAGAGGACGGACTAGAGGAAGGTGGAAGGAAGACAAGCCACAAGTGGACAGAGGGAAAGCAGGAGCTGTGAGATCACGATCTCTTACTCAGCAATTCATCCTAGAATCCAGAACCCTGTTTTGCCTCTTCACAGAAACTCAAATGACCAATTCCAGGCTCTGGGCTTCCTCACACGACCTGAAATGTCTCATTCCAGGCTTTGCGTCTTGGCTTCCCACCTATGACACTGGGCATTATAGATGGCACGAAACCTTCCAGACTGCCCGAGTACCAGACTTACGGCCCCGAGGAGGGGAATGCCCTCCTAGGTTTCCCCGAGAGACCAGGCTGCAGACTCCCGGGGAGCCTGGACTTTCACCTCAACTCTCGGCTATCCCAAGTCACTTCAGGTGTGGGCATTCAAGCCAATTCTCCTCAGCAACCGATCTGGGGGTGTCCCCACAGCCACCCACGGGTGGGATACTCCCCAAATCCTGACGATGTGGGGCCGCTGTTGCTCCTGAGAAGAGACAACTCTCAGAGTCCTGTGTGAGTTGAGGGGGGGGCTCCTGGAGCCCTGTCTATCACCAGAAACGGGAAATAAGGTGGGGGGCGAGGCCCTCCGGCACCCTGAGAAGCTGGTGGCTCCGGGGTCCAGCGGAGGCGGACGAGGGTCCCATTGCTCTTACGGAAATCGCACCCCAGGTCCCCGAGACGCGACACCGCCCGCCGGGTCGCCGCCAGTCAGCCCGGGCCTTGCAAGGAGCCCACGCCTCCTCCCTCGCGGCCCGGCCCGCGCTCACCGCCTTCTCCAGGTGGCTGCGCGCCTGCTCGCTGTTCTTGGTGTGGTGGTAGAGCACGGAGCCCAGCTGCAGGTGCGTGCGGGCCTCGATGCGCTGAGGCGGCTTGAAGGGGAACACGGCCTGCAGGCAGTGCACACACAGGCGGATCTTGGGCGGGCTGGAGGTGCGGAAGTGCTCGGCGAAGCCCAGAAGAGCCAGGTACCACGACTCGGCCGCCTCCGCCTGCGCTGCCTGGGCCGCAGCCGCCTGGGCCGCTGCAGCCGCCTGAGCCGCCATTATGGCCTCCACAACAACAAGCAGCCACCACAGGGAGGCGGAAGCAAGCGCGCGGGGCGGGGCTGGGCGCTTTCACCCTCCCCCGGCTCTCGCGAGAGCTACTGCACAAAGCATCCTGGACCATGTAGTTAGTATTTGCAGTGGCCGCCGCTCTGGGAAGGTGTGAAGGAGGGCGACGGCCTTGGGTCATCGGATCTGAGACTTAAACATCGCCAAATAGACGGAGGGTTGCGTTCCTGGAGGGACGACACTAGGCGTCCACAGAGTTGCGGGCGTGGCTGGCCAATACGGACTACATCTCCCATCGGGCCATGCGCACTATAACAGGCCCCCCCCCTTAGGTGGCGCCGGAGCATTGTGGGATTGGATGAGTCTCAAGATGGACAACCGGGATGTTGCAGGTAACAGCCACCGCCACCCCTCAAGCGCTAGCTTGGGTGTTTGGGGCTACGTGTCGCCGCTTCGCCCGCCAGTCGGTCCTGCTCCGACCCGAGGATGCCTGGCCTTAGCCCCTGGGCAGCCCAAAGCGGGGGCTTCTGTACCTCCCCGTCTCCCCAGACCCCAGACCCAGTTGCTTGCCGCCCCCGCCTGATTTGCTAAGGACGCACCGTTTTCGTGAAGGCCGCCACACGGCTCGGCCTTGCACCCCTTTTCTGAATTAGCTGCCTTCAGAGCTGCTCCAAACTCCTCTCCCCAATACAGTGGCAACCTTGGGCTGTCCTGCACCCCTTTCTTCGTAGCAGCTGCAGTCTGGCCTGTGTCCCGCTTTCTGGAAAAGCTGCTTTTCCGAAGTGCTCTGAGGCTCTCTTTACACACTTTCCCGCGTCTTTTATCCCCGCCACCCCATAACACGCATCGCAGTTCCTACTCCCCCAGAATGGGATGCATTCATCCATTCATCAGATACTTAGGGTGTGCTCACTGTGTGCCAGGCAACCTACTGGGCTCAGGGGATGCAGCAGTGACCAAAACAGGGCCCTGAAGGTTAATTTCTGGGGGGATGTCGGTGCACCAAAGAGCAAATATTTACAAAGCATGAGTTGTGATGATGTGAGGCAGTGGGTGGAGACTACTGATATTGGATGATCAGGGGAGGTCTTTTCAAGCAGAGGACATTTGAAATGAGAGGATGCCAGCTGTGGGAAGGCATGAAGGACTGAGCGTTTCACATAGAGCGTGGACAGCAAGTGCAAAGGCCTTGGGTTGGGACAGGCTTGTCCTTTTGAAGAATGCCAAGGGTGAAGCAGAAGTGGGAGGGGAGCCATCTCTGACAGGCCCTTGAAAAATCAACTTTCAGAATTTGGATTTTTTCCTGAATTTCATCGGGAACCTTTGAGTTCTCTATCTCCAATGCTACCACTCTAGTCTGAAGAAGACATCATCGTTGCTTGGAGCCAGCAAGCTTCCTTGGTCTCCTTGATGCCTGTGTACTCCCTGGGCAGAATGATCACCCAGTAGCCAGGATGATCTTAAAAAGACCCACTGGATCTTGTCATCCTGCAGTTTAATATTTCCCCATCACTTGCCTAAGCCCTTAAAGTAAAACCTAGACTCCCTATCCTGCCCCACCTCTGTCCATCGCTGGAGCAGTCCATTCAGGCCATGCTGTGCCCTTGCTAATCCTCAGATGTACCAGGCTTCTTCCTGCCTTGGTCTTTGTGTCTGCTTCCTGTGCCCAGATCATTCCCCATTTGGTTTATTCATGATGCTGGCTGCTTATCCTGTGGTTCTAGCTTAACTGTTCCCTCTTCTGTTTATTTTCCGGCCGCCCTACCAGTATAGGCACTCTAATTTATTACTCTTTCTGATCCTTTTTTTGATTTCTAGCAGAGCTTTTTTTTTTTTTGAGACAGAGTCTCACTCTGTTGCTCCTGCTAGAGTGCCTATACCAGGGCATAGCAGGCATTCTGTGTTTTCTGAATAAATGACAAAGTGGACATATGAATCACTCTGAATGTCGGTTGCTCTCTGGCCTCCCAGAACCTCTTGGGGTGTTTGTGGAGTAAAGACGATTTCTGATGTGCTTCTTTTTCCTCCCCAGGGAAGGCTAACCGGTGGTTTGGGGTTGCTCCCCCCAAATCTGGAAAAATGAACATGAACATCCTTCACCAGGAAGAACTCATCGCTCAGAAGAAACGGGAAATTGAAGCCAAAATGGAGCAGAAAGCCAAGCAGAATCAGGTGGCCAGCCCTCAGCCACCGCATCCTGGCGAGTAAGTGCCTCCTGGGGCCTGGATTGGGGTCTTAGCAGGTCCCCAGCAGAGGGTTTTGCTTGTGAGAGCAGTTGACCTGTGCTTGTTCCCGGCCACAGCCTAATGATCCGGGGCATGACACAAGTGTCCTCAGGAGGCTCAGTGTGGCAGGAGAGAAATGAGGGGTGAGTGGGAGGACGGCCTGCCAACTTGTTCACTCGGCAGTTATTTACTGCCAGCCAGCCAGCCGTGGGGCAGGAGTAGAAGTGTAGCAGAGTCAAAACCCAGATTCCATCTCTGCCCTTATGGGGCTCACAGTCTACTAGCAAAGGGGTGCCTCTCCCACCCCAGAACTGCTGGAGGAGAACATGGGGCAGTTCCCAGGCACAGTGGCCACCATAAGGGCACAGAGAGGCTTTGCATCCTGGAAGCCCAGGTAGAGCTGGCCTGTTGAGGAAGCAGGGACAGGCCTGCCTGGCAGAGGGCAGGAAGAGAGAGTCCCTGTGTGTTGGGGCAACCTGAGCCGCTGTACAAAGGGGCTGTCCTGAAGCAAGGCGGGAGGTAGCTCAGGCAGGGTTTCCACTTGCCAGTCCTGAGAAATACTGAGGGCAAAAAAGGTTTAAGCAGAGGGTGGTAGCATGATTGGGATAACAAGATCCGAGCATTTCAGGCAGGAAGTTGATGGTCAGAGAAGCAGGCCCCTTCCGCTGGAGTCTAAAGTGTGAATATATTAACTGTCTCCAAAGCTCTGTCCCAGCTCCTGCGTTTTCTAAAGTATGTGGCTTCTCCTTGAGGCACTTATTCCCGATGAAGTCCGGGCCTGGCACAGGGTGTGACACCTCCAAGGTGCTTAGGAATGTGGGGCCTGGGTGTTGGGTGTCTGCTCGTGGGCTTGGGAGCGGACTTGCAGAAAACCTTCAAGTCACCTAAAGACAATCACGTGGCTGTCTTCCTTTCTCACGTCTTAGCCTTGTTTTGTGAAGTTCTGATGAATTTTATATCTTGCTTTTTTTTTTTTTTTTTTAAATATAATAGTGACAGGGTCTCACTGTTGCTCAGGCTGGTGTCAAACTCCTGAGCTCAAGTGATCCTCTCTCTTTGGGCTCCCAAAATGCTAAGATTACAGGTGAGAGCCGCTGCATCCGGCCCATATCCTGCTTTTAGCCCCATTTTTTAAAAAATTATTTTAAAAAAAATTGTATTAAAAACACGTAACATAAAATTTACCATCTTAACCAGTTTTAAGTTTATAGTTCAGTGGTAGTAAATGCATTTATAATGTGCAGCCATCACTACCATCCATTTCTGAAACTCTTTTTCATCTTGTAAAACTGCAACTCTACCCATTAAACACTAACTTGCCATTCCTCTCTCCGCCCCCTCCCTGGCACCCACCATTCTACTTTCTGTCTCTAATTTTTTTTTTTTTTGAGACAGAGTCTTACTTTGTTGCCCTGGCTCGAGTGAGTGCTGTGGCATCAGCCTCGCTCACAGCAACCTCAGACTCCTGGACTCAAGCTATCCTCCTGCCTCAGCCTCCCGAGTAGCTGGGACTACAGGCATATGCCACCACGCCCGGCTAATTTTTTGTATATATATTTTTTAGTTGGTCAATTAATTTCTTTCTATTTTTGGTAGAGACGGGGTCTCGCTCAGGCTGGTTTCGAACTCCTGACCTTGAGCAATCCGCCTGCCTCGGCCTCCCAGAGTGCTAGGATTACAGGCGTGAGCCACCACGCCCGGCCCTGTCTCTAATTTTGACAACTCTAGGGACCTCACATAAGTGGAATACTACAGTTCTTGTCTTTCTGTGACTGGCTTATTTTATTTAGGTAATATCCTCAAGGTTCATCCATGTTGAAACGTGTCAGAGATTCTTTCGTGTTTAAAGCTGAGTAACATTCCATTGTCTGGAAACATTTTGCTTATTTGCTTTGTCTGCCCATCTATGGACAGACACTGGTTGCTTCCATGTTTTAGCTATTGTCAGTAATGCTACTGTGCACTCCACATTTATTTATTTATGAATGGATGAATGAGATGGGGTCTCTGTAACCCAGGCTGCAGTGCAAGTGGCTTGATCACAGCTCACTGCAACCTCAAACTCCTGGGCTCAAGTGATTCCTCTGCCTTAGGCTTCCAGGTAGCTAGGACTATAGGCACATGCCACGACATCCGGCTAATTGTTATTTTTTTGTAGAGTTGGGGGTCCATCCTTCCAAAGTGTTGGGATTACAGGCAAAAGCCACTGCACCTGGCCTTATTACCAGTGGTTTTCTCAAGTGGGAGTCATTTGTTGCCTCTCCGTAGCCTGACTGTGTTTTCCTATCTTTCCTTGTCCCTATCTCCTTCCCGTCCCTCCTGAGGAAGCCACACATGATGTTGAGGACAGGGCCCAGGCTGGGCACTGAGGGGTCCCCAGAGGGCCCTGCTTTTTAATGTCAATCCTGGTTTATCAGCAGAATCTTTTTTCATATAAAATAACTTTTACTGCTTTTTCTTTTTTTTAACTTTAAAGATAGTTTGTTTACACAGTAGGAAATCTGGGAAATAGAGGAGAGGAAAATAGAAAACCAGGCTGGGCGTGGTGGCTCACACCTATAATCCTATTACTTTGGGAAGCCAAGGTGGGAGGATTGCTTGCGGCCAGGAGTTCGAGACCAGCCTGGACGACATAGCAAGATCTCATCTCCGCAAAAATTTCAGAAATTATCCTAGCATGGTGGTGTGCCTGTTGTCCCAGCTACTCTGAAGGCTTAGATGGGAGGATCCCTTGAGCCCGGGAGTTTGGAGTTACACTGAGCTATGATCGTGCCACTGCACTCTATCTAGCCTGGGCAACAGAGGGAGACCCTTTCCCTAAAGAAAACAACAACAAAAAAAGAAAAACAAAAATCACTCATAACTTAGCAACCCAGAGATGAGTGCTGGTTGCCCCTGGGTGTGTTCTTCTGACAAATGTATTCTGAGCTGGGTGTGAATTAGCCTGGGCAATGTAGCAAGACGTTGCCTGCCTCTACCAAAATTTATTTTGACTTAAGTAGGACCACACTGTAGATAATTGTTTTATATCTGTCTTTTTGTTCCTCCTTTAACATTGTATTTGATTGCTTTGTCTAAAATGTTAACTTTTCTGGGCTGTCCCGTCTTCCGTCTAGTTGGCCCATAATTCAACCAGTCTTTTGCTGACTATGTAGTTTCCCTTTTTAGCTCATGAGAACAGATGCCTAGGAGGATAAAACTTAAAGGAAAAAAGCTAGACCTGTAGGCTCCGTGAGTTTTTCCCAGTTCTTGTGTGCATCCATATTGTACAATGTCACGCTGTTTTAGAAAGCAGTATGTGGGGGGAATTTCTTTCTTTCTTTTTTTTTTTTTCTGAGACAGGGTCTTGCTCTGTCTGTCACCTGAGCTGGAGTGCAGTGGTATCATCATAGCTCACTGCAGCCTCCAACTCCTGGGCTGAAGAGATCCTCCAGCCTCAGCCTCTAGAGTAGCTTGGGACTACAGCCGTACCCTACCACGCCCAGCTAAGTGTTATTTTTTGTAGAGATGAGGTCTTGCTGTTGCCCAGGCTGGTGTCATACTCCTCCGGGTTCAAGTAATCCTCCTTACTCGGCCTCCCAAAGTGCTAGGATTACAGGCGTGAGCCACCACCACGCCTGGCCCTGTAGGAGGAATTCCTGAGATTGGGTCAGGGTGGTATGTTTCAAGGTGGGAGCCTTTTTCCCCTTCCTTTCTGTATTTCTGTTTTTCTGCATTTCATTTGTTCCACCATGAGCCTCTATTACTTTCATGACAGGAGAAAAATAAATTTGAATTAAACATATTTAGGCCTCTGGGTGTACTTTTGTGTTGATTTGTTAAAAATAGATTTTTTTTTAAAAAAAAGTAAAACATACTCTTTGCAGAAAAAAAAAAAGGAGGGAGAGAGTAAAATATGAGGTTCCCCCCCACCCCCCGAGGGATTGCTTTGGATGTTTTCCTGTGAACACGAGTGCCCACAGAAGCGCTCGCTACTTCAGGCTTGGAGCTGTGGTCACGCCTGGGTAGAGTCACACGGGCCCTGCCTGGGAGAGCTCTAAAGTCTAGCAGGGAGACAGACATATGTGTCAGTAACAAATTCAGTAACAAATCGGCTGTTAGCTAACAAGGCGGCTTAGCTGCTGGGCAGGGGGATAGCAAGAACCGTCTCGTCAGGGGGCCATTTGGACCCGGGGGGTCGGTGTTCAGGCAGAGATAATCTAAGTACGCGGTGTTGCTGGTATCAGCACAGGACTGTCCCCAGCTCACTACGCCAACGCCTGCTCTGTGGACTTGGTAGTAGCTCCCGGACATCTCGGACCAGTTTGGAATACCAGGGTGGGTGTGGAGCCTCAACGGGCAGGGCATCTGCCTCTCCGCTGGCCACCTCACCCCCTGCGTCCTCTGTCTTGGTTCCAGAATTGCAAATGCACACAATTCTTCCTGCATCTCCAACAAGTTTGCCAACGACGGTAGCTTCCTGCAGCAGTTTCTGAAGTTGCAGAAGGCGCAGACAAGCACAGGTGAGTGTAGCCACCAACTCTTCCCTTGCACTGCCCTTGCATGTCCCTTGGGGACCGCTGGGTACGTTGAAAGCGATGGGTCCCCCCTCAGACTCATCCCTCCCACCCTGAGAAGGCTGAGCACTCTCATTCTGTCCATGCCCGCACCAGATGCCACGAGGGCAAGCGCAGACCTCACCCTCAAGGTACTTTCCCCGTAGAAGCAGAGGCAGACAAGACAAATTTCGGTCCAGGGGGTCGGGGCCATAATGGAGCCCTCCTCAGGGGTGTGGGGGCTGTGTCTCCAAGCTGGGCCAGCCTGAGCCCACCAGCAGGGGAGAGCGGGTGGCGCCAGGCTGGCCTGAGACACCCAGGATGGGTCAGAGGAAAGCGGGTTCCAAGGCCTTCTGTGGCGGACGTGCAGGTTGGGCAGGTGGCCTGGAGGTGGCCAGGGGCACCCAGCGATTATCACAGGGGCACTCGGATTCATTGAGCACCGCCCTCCTGCCGGGGAATGCAGGCACTCGGCGCCCTCCACATCCCAGGTGCTGTACAGGTGGGCAGTGCCCGTCCTCTCGCCGAATCCTCCCAAGGGACGCTCGTCCCTGCCTCAGCGTGTTTCTCTCTGAAAGACACTTGACGGTGCACGTGGCATTGTCTCCACTCCGAATTTATAGATACAACACTTGTCCTTTGCATTTATCTTTTCCATTTAACAATGAAAAATATCACAGGAAGTTGAAGTCCTCCTCTTCCTCCCTTCCTTTTATTTATTTGTTTTTGAGACGGAGTCTCGATTTGTTGTCCAGGCTAGAGTGAGTGCCGTGGTGTAGCCTCGCTCACAGCAACCTCAAACTCCTGGGCTCAAGCGATCCTGTTGCCTCAGCCTCCCGAGTAGCTGGGACTACAGGCATGCGCCACCAGGCCCGGCTAATTTTTTCTATATATATTAGTTGGCCAATTAATTTCTTTCTATTTATAGTAGAGATGGGGTCTCGCTCTTGCTCAGGCTGGTTTTGAACTCCTGACCTCAAGCAATCCGCCCGCCTCGGCCTCCCGGAGTGCTAGGATTATAGGCGTGAGCCACCTCGCCCGGCCTCCTTTCATGTTTTGTTCCACGCCTTTTTTTCCCCTTTGCTTGACATGGTGTTTTTTAGATCTAGATGGTTACATATAAATCTCCTTTGTCGAATCCAACTTTCGTAAGCAGCTGGTTACCAATCCCTCTTTCCATTGAGGAAACTGAGGCTTAGAAAGATGAGGCCGTAAGTGCAGAGCTCACCTGTGGCACCACCAGTGGGCCCCAGTCTCGCTGCCGGGGCCGGGAGCCAGCTATTTCACGGTGCTGCTCTCCACTGAGCCAGCAGCACCTGCCCCGCATCTATCCGTCGGCCCTCCCGTACTGCGGGTTCTTGGGGAGACTTGGGCTTGGGTTAGAGTGAGCATTCTCCAGGTCTTCGGGCCCTGGCCCCTCTGTCAGCAACCCAGGGGCGTGCCCAGACCTCCCCACGGGGTGATGCAAGGAGCGGGGCCCCTCTCTAGGTCCAGGGCAGCCTGGCTCACAGACGCAGCGGGACACACCAGGTGTGGGAATCACCGGCCGAGGGCAGCCGGTCTGTGTCGGTGGTGTGTGGTCCAAGTGCATCGTTGCTGGTGAGACAGGTGGTCTTCAGCCTTCCTCCGGTTTCCTAGGGAGCAGCTAGGAAGAGTTAAGCCAAGGCCAGACTCCTCCGCACACGGTGGGGAAGGGTGGTGTGAGTCCTCTGCCCGCCAGGTGTCAGGCCGAGGACGGCTAAAAGGCGGGATTCGAGGGCCCAGGTCCTGTCCACAGGCGCTGACGTGTCGCTGGGCTGTGGGTGCAGCACGGTCCAGGTGCCTGCAGAGCCCCAGGCTTGTCCTGTGTGGCTGTGGGGCCGCAAGTCATTCCTCTCTGAGCTTCTGCGTCACCTCCTGTAAAAGGAAGGTCGCCTCATGTCCGAGTGCTGGATGCCAAGGACCCGGCCCCGGGGCCCGCAGCACTGGGAAGGTCGCCTCGTGTCCGAGTGCCGGATGCCAAGGACCCGGCCCTGGGGCCCGCAGCACTGGGAAGGTCGCCTCGTGTCTGAGTGCTGGAAGCCAAGGACCCGGCCCCGGGGCCCGCAGCACTGGGTTTGCCGGGCCATGGGAGCTGTGCCGGGCAGCCCCTGAGGGCCCGTGTCCTTCCTTCCGTCCCAGATGCGCCCCCCAGCGCGGCCAGCGCCCCTCCCAGCACGCCCGCCCCCAGCGCCGGGAAGAGGCCCTTCCTCATCAGCAAGCGGGCGGGCCTGGCGCTGGGCAGCGTGCCGGGCACGGTGAAGAACTACTCGCACGCCAAGCAGCTGCCCGTGGCGCACCGCCCGAGCGTCTTCCAGTCCCCCGACGAGGACGAGGAGGAGGACTACGAGCAGTGGCTGGAGATCAAAGGTGAGTGGCGGGGCGTGCCACCCCTCCTTCCACCGGCCGATCCCCGGTCGGCGGGCAAGTGCGGCTGGGGTGTGGAGCCGTTGGGGTTGAGGTTGGGGTCTCCGGGCCTTGGGGCCGAGCCTTGGGCCCCTGAGGCGAGGGGAGCAAAGGAGGGTGCGGGAAGGGCCGGGGGAGCAGCCTCAGGAAGGTCCCGGGCGTCAGAGCGTGGGCTCCCTCCTGGGAGCAGCGGGAACCACTGTCCGCTCACCTGGCTCATCCCCATCCCGGGCATGGACGTGTGGCCCCTCTGAGGAAACGTTCGCTCAGGAAGGGCAGCCTCGTGTCCCTTCTCCTTAGCCAGGAGCGGAGGAGCGTCTGAGGCTCCCCTGCCTGGGCGAACGCCCCCAAGCCCTCAGGGCTCCCGAGCCCGCTCCTCACTGCGGGTGACGTGTCCCCACCAGTGCAGGCCGGAGGCGTGAGCCGCAGGTTGGAGGGCTCTCTCTCCTGCCACGGGGAAGGGCAGGCCTGGTGTCCGGAGCTTGTCCAGTCCCCGAGGCGTAGGAGGGGGATGGGGGACGGCGGTGGCGGCACTCCTAGCGAGTCCAGCCCTGTCCACATTCAGAATGAGAATCTGCGACCCCTGAGCCATGTGGAGGGCTGGACGGCAGTCACGTCACCCTGACAGCAAGGACAGACTGAAGTGGCCATGTAGTTGTGCTGTGACAGCTTGGAGACCGCCAGTTCTGAATGAGGGTGCCAGCTTCTGGCTCCGCCTGAGCAGCTCAGGGCCAGAGTGGAGCCCTTCCCTTAGGAGGTGCTCCGGCAGCTCCAGCAACGCTGCCAGGAACCACCGCTCTACCCGGGGCCGTGGCCTGCGAGGCTGTTACGACTCGCTGTCCACGTGGCCTCCGTGACGCACCCGTTCTGTAAACAGTGGCCAGGTTGGGGTTGTTGCTGCAAACATGGGAGGAGGGTGAGGCTGGGGGAAAGGTGGGTGTGGGATGCCCCCCGATGTCTCACAAGGCCCTCCTCGGGCCACGTTTACGCCTGACGCCCTGTGCTTCCCTGGAGCCCAGGCAACAAGGGGAACGCAGCTAGCCACAGGTCTGGCATCTCGGCCCGGTTGCCAGGTGCCGGCTGCCAGCAGGAAATTCCTCCTGCGAGTCTCACGTAAAAGCAACGTGATCCTTATAGTGGCTGACAGACTCGCAGGCTCAGAGACAGCCCAGTGAAAAATGCAAAAGCAAGTTCCACGTGGCTCGAAGGGGAGGCTAATCCATATATAAAACTATATTTTTATAGCTCTGTTCACTGAAAAGGCCCCGAGGTAATGGGTAAGCCCGTTGCAGTGAACATCCCTAGCGCCCAGATGGTGGTCTGGAGACACAGTTTCTCACTAACGGGAACCAGGACTTCTTGGAGGAATGGCTGGCTCTGGGTCGGGGCAGGAAGTGTATGAGATGACCCTGGAGCGCCCTGTCCCAGCAGATGGCAAGGAGGCCGCCAGAGACTTCCTGGGGTCATGTCCAAAGCTCTCAGGAGCAAGCTTGAAGAGGCTCCACCGGCCACAGAGCTTCTATGATGACATTAATTGCCATGGATTGAAAGCCCACCCAAAGCGTTTAAATCAGAGTTCGTAATGGTATTTTTAAAAACGAATGTGTCATCTTTGAAGGATGAAAGGGAACCGATGTATTATACCGAAAACTGGTAAATAAAAGAATTAAGCATTCCCCTCCCCCGGACACCCTGGGGAGCTGGATGTGTTTTCCACCGGGTTCCCGCTCAGGGCCCGCCACGGCCTCACTTCTCTCCCGCCCAGTGTGTCTCACAGAGACAGCTGAGACCGGACCCCCTCGCCACGGTGTGCTTTGTGCCTGGACCCGGGACGCCCGGCAACCTCCTGCATCTCACGCTCTTCTCCCCCACCCCTGTCGTTGTGGTCCGTAGAGAGAGTGTGCCTATTGACTGTGGGGTGTGTGAGTTGAACCCCAGTACTGACAGCCTCCTTAAAGTTTCACCCCCAGAGGGAGCCGAGACTCGGAAAGTGATAGAGAAATTGGCCCGCTTTGTGGCAGAAGGAGGCCCCGAGTTAGAAAAAGTAGCTATGGAGGACTACAAGGATAACCCGGCGTTTTCGTAAGTATCTCCGGGGGCGGGAAGGCCTCAGCCGTCTAACCTGCTTGCTGCACGGCCGCGCGTGCCGGTGTGCTCGTGAACTCACTGTGACTAGGGCTGGGTGTTTGCACTCGCCTGCCGGCTGTCCCAGGTGCTGTCGGCGCACCCCAGAGGTGGCAAGGGGCTCCCGTGGGGCACGGAGACTCGCTCTTGGGCCCTGGCCGGCGTCTCTGCTTGCCAGCCTGCTTTTGCGCGACAGGAGCCGCTCGGTTGCGCCTGCCGCAGACGCTCACCTCCCATCTTCTGTAAACTTCTTCCCCTCTGCAGATTTTTGCACGATAAGAATAGCAGGGAATTCCTCTACTACAGAAAGAAGGTGGCTGAGATAAGAAAGGAAGCACAGAAGTCGCAGGCAGCCTCTCAGAAAGGTAGGTGGACAGCGGGGGAAGGGGGCTCTGGGGGAGGCATGCAGACACACCATGCCCCCCTGTGGGGGGTTCCTGGAGGCCACAGCGGGGTGGGGTGGGGTGGGCTGGGGCCTGTGCCCTCCAAGGCAGCTGGGGTCACCTTGGAGACGGGGCTGTCACTGCCCTCCCTGCCAGTGCTCTGAGGACTGGGTGCAGTCGGAGTGACAGGCCTCGCGCGTGGGGTGCGTGGGTGCTCTGGGAGCATAAGGTCACGTCCGGGAGATCAGCTCCCTGCGTGCAAACAGGGCTCGCTGGCTATTTGAACAAGCGTTAATGAGCCCCAGCTTCACGCTGGGCACTAAAGACACAGCCAGATGAGGGCAGCGCCTGACCCTAGGGGAGGAGGGCCGAGGGACAGACAGACACAGCCAGATGAGGGCAGCGCCTGACCGTAGGGGAGGAGGGCCGAGGGACAGACAGACACAGCCAGATGAGGGCAGCGCCTGACCCTAGGGGAGGAGGGCCGAGGGACAGACAGTGAGGGCAGCGCCTGACCGTAGGGGAGGAGGGCCGAGGGACAGACAGACACAGCCAGATGAGGGCAGCGCCTGACCCTAGGGGAGGAGGGCCGAGGGACAGACAGACACAGCCAGATGAGGGCAGTGCCTGACCGTAGGGGAGGAGGGCCGAGGGACAGACAGACACAGCTGGGGAGGTTCCCACTGGGATGGATTTGAGGGGAGCTCGGAGATGCCGGCCGGTCTGCAGCCAGAATGACGTAAAATCCCAGCCAGGAGCTGGTGGGCAGTGGGGGGACTGATGCTCAGGCACAGTGTGGGCCACAGAGCTCTGTTCATGGAGTCACCTGCAGCCCTTTACCCTGAACCTCTCCCCGAGAGAGGAGGGCCTTCCGCGTCCCCTTGTGAGGGACAGGAATAACCCCCAGCAGAAAAACTCGGGCAGATACCCCCGTCTCCCCTCCTGCCCAGCCCAGCTCCCCACGTCCTCATCCCTCCCGGTTCAAGTCTGAGGCCCAGGAGACTGCCAGGGTGGGAGGGGCGGGCATGGGGCTTGAGCTGAGCTGTGATGTGATGTTAACTCCGGCGTTCGGTCCCAGTACAGTAATCTGATTCCCGTTTGCCTGTTTTTCTTTGCATCGTTCCTAAACTAAACCCCACTCGTTGCCTGTGGGGTTCTTAGCAGAAATTAGGCTGTTGGGTGTGGTGAGTTGAGCCCAGTACTGACAGCCTGCTTAAAGTTTCACCCCCAGAGGATGAAGAGGCCAAGAACCTTGCAGAAAAGTTGGCCAGGTTCATAGCGGACGGGGGTCCCGAGGTGGAAACTATCGCCCTCCAGAACAACCGCGAGAACCAGGCCTTCAGGTAAGCGGGTGCTTGCCAGGGAGGTGACCCAAGCCCTGGCCACAGCCCTCCTGCAGATGAGGAAATGGGGCCCAGCATGGTTCAGCTGCCTGCTAGGGTTCCCCACCGAGAAGCTGGCAGGGCTGGGACTCGAGTCTGGAATTTTCTGCCCCGAGCCCAGCTCTGCCACCCCACAGGCATTTCCCAAGCACCCATCAGCACGCCTAGAAGGTCTCTGAGGCAGGAGCAGGGCGGCGGGTGTGTGTGTGTGTATGTGTTGGGGCCTTCGTGACACAGCAGGCCCCGGCTGGGGGCAGGCCGGGCACTCCAGTGGAAATTCCCAGAGCTGTTTATTCCGTGTGCATTCTCGGGGTCTCCCTTTTATGACGAGGGGAGCAGCAGGGAGTGTGAGAGCTCAGGATCTCGGGGGAACCGCCCGCCCCCAGCTTTTGTGCAGGCTCTGCAGTAAGGCTGGTGAGTGATGAGCAGCCCAGCCTCCCTGCTGTCCCTGGCCATGCATGGTCACGCTGCAGCCCTCAGGCTGGGTCTGTGTTCGTTGGCTCATTCATTCATCGGACGGGTTCGGCGTCCACTCTGCTGGGGGAGGCTGGTGGGGGCCTGGGGCCTGTGGACGCTATGGGCAGTGGCCGGCAGAGTCACGCTTGGGAGGGGGTAGGATGCTGAGCACAGCGTGTGGGAGGACGTTTTCGGGCTCGTGTACAACAAGTCCCGACTCAGTGAGAAGATAGGGCACATAACGAAAAGTTCGGGAACAACAGAGTCTGGGCTGGTTGGCTCGGCCACGCTAAACGTCACAGGGACGACATCACGGAGGGTGGGCAGACAGGGCCAGGCCAGGGCCAGGCAGAGGCGGGCAGTGGGCAGCCACCAGGAGGTGGAGCTGATGTTATGTGGGGGCTGGGACAGGGAGAGGGCCCTTCGTGGGGGCTGAGGTGTGTCTGAGTCTGGTACCTGGCTGGTCTGGAGCCCTCACTGGGGCCTTGGAGCATTTGGGTCTGGAGGCCGGGGGGGAAAGGGGGTCTGGCTGGCCCTCGGGGCTTGCCCTGACAACCATCGAGTTGTCGGAGATAACTCTGTGCCCCCAAACCAACGCTGAGTTACCAGTCCGCTATAAGTCATTGCATCTTTTCTTCATTTACCTAATTACGATTATTTAGTTAATGATGCTGAGCACGGTAAGAAACATAGTTTACTGCCAGCCACCGTAGGCAGACACTGACTGTGGGACGCTATTGCAGGAAAAGTAGATGAGGTCACGGAATTCCGTCCGAGGCCCCAGGCCCGGGCGGCCCTGCCGGGTCGGAGGGGGCCAGGGCCCGGCAGCTCCGGCCCCCCCCCCCCAGCGTCAGAACTGAGACGCTGGTGCAGGCAGCTCCAGGTTCTCCTGATCGTCCGTCCCTCCTCCTGCGCAGGGCGTGTTGTTGATGGGGGTCAGCTGGTTAGGTGTCCTGGGCCGGGGGAGGTTGCCAGGGGCGGGTGCCCAGGGTGGCCAGAGGAGGCTCGGGGAAGGGACCTCCAACCCAGGCTTACCGGTGAGGCCAGAGCCAGACTGGGAAGGAACTGGGAGGGGCAGTCAGGTGTGCAGGCCCCAGCAGGGGGTGCAGGTTTGTACCAAGCAAACTGTTTAATCTCCACATGGGGTCAGCCCCAAGGCACAGCAGTGCCAGACGGGCACGTGTGCTTGGCAGAGCCTTCCCTCGCCCCCAGATCTCACAGCCACTAGGTGTTCTGCTGCTCAAGGCTCTTTCCTGTCCCCGCTCTCCTCCTCACGTGGGCCGGGCACTCCCCGGTGGCTTTGGGAAACAGTTTGTAACAACTTGATCGTAAAGAAGGGAACGCTCAGTCCTTCAACCTGGTCGCCCTCCCCCTTTCTGAGACGCGTCCCCAGAAATGACGTTAGATACAGCCTCAGCCATAGTAGCGAAAAAGTCAGTAACAAATTGAGCGTCCAACCTCAATCCGTAAACGCATCTCCCCCATGGAACACACGGTGCTGGGAGTACCGAGTGGTCTGGCAACCGGCACGCTGGCCCTTGGGGGTGAGGAAACCGAGCATGCCTTCGCTGCTGTAGCGAGAAAGGCTCGTGTAGTTGGATCAAGTAAGGAATTTTTTTTTTTTTTTTGAGACACAGTCTCACTGTGTTGCCTGGGTTAGAGTGCCGTGGTGTCAGCCCAGCTCACAGCAACCTCAAACTCCTGGTCTCAAGCGATCCTCCTGCCTCAGCTTCCTGAGTAGCTGGGACTACAGGCATGCGCCACCACGCCCGGCTAATTTTTTCTATATTACTTGGCCAATTAATTTCTTTCTATTTTTAGCAGAGATGAGGTCTCACTCAGGCTGGTTTCGAACTCCTGACCTCGAGCAATCCGCCCGCCTCGGCCTCCCAGAGTGCTAGGATGACAGGCGTGAGCCACCACACCCGGCCTGAATGTCTTTTTCAAATCTGGCCAACTGCTCCCTTCCCTCTTGTATAGTTCCTTGCTTTTATGTCACCTGGCCATGCTGGTACCATGACCCAGGAAAGCAAGGAAGTTGGCGCCATCTCCCTGTCTCCCTTCCCCACGCTCTCCAAGTACCACATGTTACCAGGCCGGAGACACAGGCTCACATAGACACGTGGACACAGTGGGTCCCCTGCTGCTGTCATACACAAAAGGGGTGCACGGCACCCTTGACCCTATTATATTTATTTATTTATTTTTAGGGACAGTCTTGCTCTGTTGCCTGGGCTAGAGTGCAGTGGCATCATCATAGCTCACTGCAACCTCAAATTCCTGGGCTCAAGTGATCCTCCTGCCTTAGCCTCCCGAGTAGCTGAGACTACAGGCATGCGCCACCATGCCTGGCTAATTTTTCTATTTTTAGTAGAGACGGGGGTCTTATTCTTGCTCAGGCTGGCCTCAAGTGATCCTCCCACCTCAGCCCTCTCAGAGTGCTAGGGTTACAGGCATGAGCTACCATGCCAGCCTACACTTTGTTTAGTAGCACGACACTGTGCTATGACTGTCCCTCTAGATTCATAAGTGCAGGTCTGGCTCCTTCTTGTCCAGGCGTGGACCCTCTCCAGAGGCAGGACTGTTGGCTCAGGATATACACAGTGTGATGCGGAACCCAGCTCTGGACTCCGTGCCACCTGCTCTGCCCCGGGGCTGCCTGCCCCTAGGTGTAGTTGGAATCTAGCTCACCGGTCTCAGTGTCTCTGTTTTGGCTCCGTCTGCTATTAACCCTCTTGGGGACGAGTTGGAGAAGCCGTCAGGTTTGGGACAGGTCGGCTATGCCCTTTCTGGTGTCTCCCCACAATTCGGGATCTTTTCGTGTGAAGGCCCTACTCTTCTTAGGCGTCTGGGGAGGGCATCTGCCCCTTTCCCTTCAAAGCCAGGGGGATTGATGACGGTGCGGTTGGCACCTGGGTAAGACCCGGATGGGGATCGGAGTGGCCCACAGCTCTAAGGAAGGGCGTCGTGAGAGCCTGCGGGCACATCACACTAAAGAGCCAGCAGCCACTGAGGCCCGGAAGGCCAGGGGGTCATTGTGGAGACCATGCCCCTGGCCAGCCTGGGCGTGCCAGGCCTGAGCTGCCTGGAATCAGGGACCAGGGCTCAGGCCCCGCTGACAACACTCCCCCGCCCCCCAACTCTCCTTTGCAGCTTCCTGTACGAACCCAACAGCCAAGGGTACAAGTACTACCGGCAGAAGCTAGAGGAGTTCCGGAAAGCCAAGGCCGGCTCCACGGGCGCCCTCACGGCACCCGACCCCGGCCTGAAGCACAAGTCCCTTCCTGAGGCCCTGTCAGGGTCCTTGCCCCCGGCCACCACCTGCCCCACCTCGTCCACCCCCACGACCGCCGTCACCCCTGCCCCAGCCGCCCCCGGGAAGCCAGCCTCCACAGCCACCGCCAAGAGGAAGCGGAAGAGCCGGTGGGGGCCCGAGGAGGACAAGGTGGAGCTGCCACCTGCTGAGCTGGTGCAGAAGGACGTGGACGCCTCCCCCTCACCTCTGTCAGGTGGGCTCACCCTTTTCACGTGCTGCTGACTTTGGTTTCCTAGCATTTCACTGAGGATTTCTGCATCTACATTCTCCTTTTCTTGTAGAGTCTTTGTGTCTCGCTTCGGTACCAGAGCAATACTGGCCTCACAGATAAATTTGGAAATGTTCTCTCTCTGGGTTTTTGGAAGCATTTTAGAAGAATTGGAGTATTATTTCTTCCTTTAAACGTTTGTTAGACTTCACCAGTGAAGCCATCTGATTCTGGGCTCTTCTTTGTTGGGAGGTTTCTGATTACTGATGCGACCTCCTTGCTTGGTCCAAGTCTATTCAGATTTTTCATTTCTTCTCAAGTTAGTTTTGATGGTTTGTGTGTTTCTAGGAATTTGTCTACTTCTTTTAGGTTATCTAATTTGTTGGTGCACAGTTCTGAGTATTTTCTTATGGTTTTTATTTGTATTTCATTTTTAGTCATCAGTAACACTCATAGCTCTCCTTTCATTTCTGGTTTTAGTAACTTCATCGTTCTCTCATTTTCTCTTAGGCTATCTGCACCTTGTCAATTTTGTTGATGTTTTTCTGAAGAACCAACTTTTGGTTTCATTGATTTTTTTTTTCTCTCTCTATTGTATTTCTGTTCCCTGTTTCATTTATCTCCACTCTAGTCTTTATTATTTCTTTCCTTCTGTTAGTGGCTTTAGTTTGCTCTTTTTCTAGTTCATTAGAGTGTACAGTTAAGTTATTGATTTTAGATCTTCTTTCTTTTTTCTTTTTTTTGAGACAGAGTCTCACTCTGTTGCCCAGGCTAGAGTGCCGTGGCGCCGTGGCGTCAGCCTAGCTCACAGCAACCTCGAACTCCTGAACTCAAGTGATCCTCCCGCCTCAGCCTCCCAAAGTGCTGAGATTTCAGGTGTGAGCCACTGCATCCGGTCAGGTCTTCATGCTTTTACAGCCATAAGTTTTCCTGTTAGCATTGCTTTTGCTGCGTTTTATGTTTTGATGTGTTAGGCCAGGTAAAGTGGCTCACACCTGTGATATAGCACTATTGGAAGATAAGTGGGAGGATCACTTGAGGCCAGGAGTTCAAGACCAGCCTGGGCAACATAGCAAGACCCCCATCTCTACAAAAAATTAAAAAAAAAAAATTAGCCAGCATTGTGGCACACACCTGTAGTCTCAGCTACTCGAGAGGCTGACACAGGAGGATCGCTTGATCCCAGGATTTGGAGGCTACAGTAAGCTATGATGATGCCACTGCACTCTAGCCTGGGTGACAAAGCAAGACCCTTTCTCCAAAAAAAATAAAAAATGTTTGGTATATTGTAATTTCGCTTTTATTTCTCTCTAAATATATTCTAATTTCTCTTGTGATTTTGTCTTTAATCCATTGGTTGTTAAAAAGTGTGTTCTTTAATTTCTACATATTTGTGAATGTTCTAATTTTCCTTGTTACTGATTTCTGGTTTCAGTTCATTATGATTGGAAAAGATTTGGTGTGATTTCATACTTTTTAAGTGTATTAAAACTTGTTCTGTAGCCTAAATGGTCTATCTTGAAGAACTTTCCATGTGCTCTTGAGAAGGCCACGCATTCTGCTGTTGAGTTGCATATTCTGTTAAGTTTAGTTGGTTATAGTGTTGTTCAGTCCTCTATATTCTTTTTTTATTATTATTTTTTTTGTTTTGTCCCTTTTTCTTTTTTTTCTTTTTTTTCCACCCTTATTAATTGGAATACAGTTCTCTGTATCCTTCCTGATGTTTTGTTTGGGCGTGCTATCCATTATTTAGAGTTTGGTATTGAAATCTCCAAATATTATTATTGTTGTTTGTTTATTTATTTATTTATTTTGAGACAGAGTCTCACTCTGTTGCCCGGGCTAGAGTGCTGTGTCGTCAGCCTAGCTCACAGCAGCCTCAGACTCCTGGGCTCAAGCGATCCTCCTGCCTCAGCCTCCCGAGTAGCTGGGACTACAGGCTCACACCACTGTGCTTGGCTAATTTTTTCTATTTTTGGTAGAGACGAGGTCTCACTCTTGCTCAGGCTGGCCTCAAACTCCTGAGCTCAAATGATCCTCCCACCTTGGCCTCCCAGAGTGCCAGGATTACAGGCGTGAGCCACTGTGCCTGGCCAAAATCTCCAACTATTATTGTAGGACTGTCTATTTCTCCCTTCAATTCTGTCAATTTTTGCTTTATATATTTTTAGGGCTCTGTTGTTGGGTTTGTATACGTTTATAGTTGTTATATCTTATTTCTGTATCAAACCTTTTATTAATATATAATGTTCTTTTTTGTCTCATAACTTTTATTCACTTGATATCTATCTTGTCTGATACTAATACAGCTATCCCAGCTCTCTCTCATGGAGAGAGCATGGAATATCTTTTCCCACCCTTTGACTTTCAAACTGTAGTCATGTGCTGTCTATCAACATTTCAGTTAATAATGGACCACACATATATGATGGTGGTCGCATAAGATTATAATACCTTATTTTAACTGTACCTTTTCTTTGTTCAGTTTTATATATATATATATATATTTTTTTTTTTTTTGAGACAGTCTTACTCTGTCACCTGGGCTAGAGTACAGTGGCATCATTATAGCTCACTGCAACCTCAAACTCCTAAGAGACATTTTCTTATGATTTTCTAAATGGTATTTTCTTCAATAACATTTTTATCTCTAGCTTACTTCAAGGATACAGTATATGATACGTATAACTAGGCAACAAACAAAGGTTACAGGACGTTACTGTACTGTACATTGACAATCCTTCCCGTAGACTGCTGTGTGCAGTGTGCCTTGAACGTTCTTATGATGCCTTGATCTGGAGACTTAATTAGAGACATTCAATTTGGAAGCAAGTAGACCACTTTGAACTCATGGGTTCTGTGTGGCCAAGGGCACTGTCCAACATCAAAAGAATTTTAAAAGGCAGTCCCTTAAACTCAAGAGATCCTCCTGCCTCAGCCTCCTGAGTAGCTGGGACTACATGTATGCACCGCCACACCCAGCTAATTTTTTCTATCTTTTTTAGTAGAGACAGGGTCTCGCTTTTGCTCAGGCTGTTCTTGAACTCCTGAGCTCAGGGGATCCTCTTGCCTGGGCCTCCCAGAGTACTAGGATTACAGGCATGAGCCATGGTGCCTGGCCTGTTTAGATATATTTAGATACACAAATACTTACTATTGTGTTACAGTTGCCTGTAATATTCAAAACAGTAACATGCTGTAAAGGCTTGCTGCCTAGTTATATGTATTGTATACTGTATCCTTAAAGCAAGCTACAGATAAAATTGTTATCAAAGAAAATATCATTAAGAAAATTGGGTGGGCGCGATGGTGCACGTCTGCAATCCTAACACTCTGGGAGGCTGAGGTGGAAGGATCGCTGGAGCTCAGGAGTTCGAAACCAGCCTGAGCAAGAGCGAGACCCCGTCTCTACTAAAAATAGAAAGAAATTAATTGGCCAGCTAAAAATATATTTTTAAAAAAATCATAAGGAAGACAAAGTGTATTTGCTGTTCATTACCTGGAAGTGGATCATCATACTGGTCTTCATCGTCCTGGTGCGGGCTGCGGAGGAAGAGGAGGGGTTGGTTTTGCTGTCTCGGGGGTGGCAGAGGCAGAAGAAGTGAGGTAGGCAGAAGGGGGCGCAGGAGAGCCAGGTGCACTTGATGGAAATACACTGGAATTTCTGTCTGACTTGCTTGCTTTTTCATTCCTGTAAAAGAATGTCTTTATATGGCGTTTTAGAACGTTGTCCTAGAAAAAGCTGTGAAAGGCATCAAGCTTTTTCTTCCCGCATTTGGTTTAGTTTCGGTGCCCGTACCTTAGAAGGGTCCATGTTGTGAAGGAAGTCAGTCCCTCTGCCAGGCTGTGCAGGGTCAGCTTGTTCCCGGCACTGCTTCCTCTGCGGGGTCTTGCTCATCCGGCACCAGCTCGGGGGCGCTCGTCTCCACCCGTTGTCTTCTGTTAATTCCTCTGGGGTGGTGCCTGTCCGCTCTTCTTCTTCTTTTTTTTTTTTTTGAGACAGAGTCTTGCTTTGTTGCCCAGGCTAGAGTGAGTGCCGTGGCGTCAGCCTAGCACTAGACGATCCTCCTGCCTCAGCCTCCCAAGTGGCTGGGACTACAGGCATGCACCACCATGCCCGGCTAGTTTTTTCTATATATAGTAGTTGGCCAATTGATTTCTTTCTATTTTAGTAGAGACGGGGTCTCGCTCTGTTGCCCAGGCTGGTCTCGAAATCCTGACCTCGAGCAATCCGCCCGCCTAGGGCTCCCAGAGAGCTGGGATTACAGGCGTGAGCCACCGCGCCCGGCCTCTGTCGGCTCTTGAGTCTCTCCAAGATCCCTATCT